CCGTTGCCGCTCCTGCCCTGCTCACCAGGACAGCCGGCCCACTGCCCTCGATTCCGGGCAGCTGAGACACCAGGTCCCAGCTCACCCTTCCCCTGCAGCGGACGGCCCCTAGGCAGGGCCGGCCGGCCTGGCCAGGAACTGGACGGCCTCACCGATGGCGCAATCGAGTGCGGAGTGGCATTGCCAAGGACAGGACATGCGGCTCACCTTTGCCTGAAGGCGGCCTCCCTCGGGCCTGGACTCCCTGAGCGCCCACCTTGTTGGTGAGGCCACCCCCGCCATCCCCTCCTGCTTCCCCCCTCCCTCGCCCCCACTGGCCACCAACGACCCTCGCTGATTTTCCCTAGAATGTCCCCGAACCCTGGTCCCCACCCTCTTCCTCCCCACTCTGCCCGCAGAGCCGCGGCCCTGGTCAGCGGGTAGGTGGCGGGAGAAGGTGTTTCAGAGGCTGAGAGTGCGTTGGGGGAGCACAGGAAACGTGTGGCTTTGGGAGAGCAGGCAGGTGCTTTCGAAGCCCTCAACACCTTGGGAAAAAAAAAAAACTGGAACAGCGTCGGGTGTGCTGGAAAGATGAATTTCCGTCTCAAAAATGTGAGTCAGTCCATAAAGACACATCATTCTATGCAAAAACAACCCACATGTGTTCACAGTGCCTCGGCGGCTCTGTGACGAAGGCACCAGGCTCCCAGTGGAAGCAGCTTGGAGGACGTAGAGGGAAGAGGAGGCCGACCAGGGTTAAGGGCACCCCCTTACCATGCCGGGGGCCACGGGGCTGCACACGCAGAGGGCGCTGCCCGCGTGACCCCGACCCCGGCCCCGGGCGGGAGGGGGCTCTCAGCACCAGAACCGGGTTTTCGGAAAGCCACTGGGCCAGCCACCGCGTTCTGGAAAAAGACAGAGGGCTGGAAACAGCAGCACCTGCCTGACCCGGTGGGCGGCGCGCAGGTGTGAGGGCCTGGGCCGTGGGAGACGCTGGGCTCGAGGAGCGGGCCCCAAAGAAAGAGCAGCAGGTGACAGAGGCTGCGGGGGCGAGCTCTGGCTGGACTCGACTTCCAGGAAGAGCCCTGAGCCAGGCCGGGCGGGAGGCACGGGCTGGGGAACCTGCAGGTGCCAGGTGGACACGCTCAGGAGACCGGGCGGGCTGGAGGTGGGACCGGGGAGTGGAATCCCCATCTGGGGTGGTGCCTGGCATCTGGGGACCCCAGGGCCCAGTGTCGTCGCAGGATGACTCGCCTGTGTCGGGGGCGGGACCAGAGGCAGCACGCGGGGGTGCCTGTGCCGGCTGTGAGGAGGCTGGGGAGACACAGAAGACAAAGACACAGGCTGTCCCGGGGCGGGGGGTGTTCCCTAAATCATTCACTGGGAAACGGGCGACCCCAGCAGCTGGGGCACAGCCGCTGGGGATGAGACCGATCAGAACAGGGCGGGTCGGGGCACAGAGAGGGCGAGAGACTCGCGGAGGGTCGCACAGCCTGCAAGTCTCAACTCCAGGGTCCTCCCTGGCAGGCTCTACCCTTCCTGCTCCCCCCAGGCGTCCCCAGAAAGCCGCCAGCCCTGGTCTCCCCACTGGCCCCTGCGGAAGAGGCAGCAGTTGGCGGCCAGGGCCACGGCCCGGGCACTTCCTGCAAGACTCAGCAGACGCCCCACCTGAGGGTGTTTTCCTCTCTGATGGGGGGTCGCCTGACCGCCCCCCCCCCACGCCACCGTCGCTGGGAGATCTCAGACAGCCACGCCCAGTTGGCACCGCGCCCAGGTCCAGAAGCACAAAATCTGCAAAAAACAGCCTGGCCCCTGGCCCCAGCCGCCCACACCTGCTCTCCTGCTCCCCCTGCCTGTGCCTTGCCGCCCACTCCCCGGGCCCTCTCCTCCTGCCCAGCGAGTCCCCCCTCCGCCCCCATCACCTTTCTCAGAAGCCTCCGGGGACGGTCCCCACCAAACTCCAGCCCTGAACTCACCCTGCTTCTGAGCTCCAGCCTGTCCCCGCCATGTGCGGGAGACTCGGGGCACAGTGGGCTCCCCCCAGAGCGGCTGCCCGGAGGGGTCCGTTTCTCTCTCTCCTGAGCACTGGCCCCGCTGCGCTGCCCCCACTCGGCTGGGGCTGGGGCTGGGCGCTCGGGCACAATGCGGAGAGGAACCGAATTTATCTTTGCTCATTAACATTTAAACATACGATCCGGCAGTGAAGTGTCTTTCCTCGAACAGCTTTTGTTTCGGGCGGGCTCGCACTTTATTTCAGCACTTATTTTGAAAATTTAGCATCTGAATTGAGGCACGTTTCAAGAGGAAGGGTCTAAAATATATGTTTGCCAAGGGGGGGACCCCGGGGACCTGGCGAGGGACCTCGGGGCGCGGGGGCGGGGACTGTGGGGGGGGGCTGCAGCCCAGGGGGAAATGCATCCATTGGAGAAAATGAAAAATGACGTAAAAAATACATAAAATAATTAAAAATAAATACATTTTTAAAAATAAAATAAAATAAAAAGGTGTGCGGGGGCCCCGGGGGCTGGCGCGGGGACCTCTTTGGGGGCGAAGGTCCTCTTCCCCAGGGCGTTCGCCTCCGAGGGGAGCCTTTCCAGAGGCGCCTGACGCTGCGGTGACGGTGACTCGGACGCCGGGTCTCGGGGGGCCTTGGCGCGTCCCCTGGATCTTACTGTCCCGACGCTCACGGCGCGGCTGCTGACCTCCTGCCCCGGCCCGCCAGGCCTCCAAGGGGAGCGAGGGCGCGGCTGAGGCAGCAATGACTGAGCATCTTGCCCAACACTCTCCCTTTCTCTGCTGCTCTCCCTCATCACCCCGGTCTAGGGAGAGGTTTCCGCGTCTCATTGATCCACTCACTGGTTCCAGTGATGGGCTCAGGGCTCTCACTGCATCCATGGACATTATCGCCTTGTTCTGATGTTCCAGCAGTCCCGGGGAGCCACGAAGCCTGCAGCCTCCTTTGGACAAGTGCCCATGGTTTTTTGGCTTAAGATGGTCTGGGCCCAGCCTTCCGGGATGCTTCCAGAGGCCCAGCTCCGCCCAGGCTCCTGCGGGAAGGCCTGGGCTCGCTCGGTCACCGCCTGGCCTGCTGGGCCCTGTGGACCCCCAGCCTGGTGCTCAGCTCCCCGTCTCCCCTGCCCCCACCCTCTCTCCCGGCAGCCCACCGGAAAGCAGAGCAGCCCAGCTCATTCTTTTCCAGGCTGCGCTCTCCTGAGTTCTTGGCTCAAGGCTCAGTTTTTCATCTGCCAAATGGGGCTGTAAGGCTGTGACCTCACAGGGCCGCGTGGAGGGAGAGGAGCGCGGGCTAGGAAATGTGCTCCCCGTGGGGGGGAGGGAAATCCCTGCAAGGAAGGGTTGTCAGCCCCTCCTGAGGCCACCTCCACGGAAAGAGGCCTCCAGCACTCTGCACCCTGAAGCAGAATTAGCGTTGCCACCCCCCCCAAAACTCCCCCCTCCAGCCCCCCCCAGAGCCAGCCCACCAGTCCAAACCCAGCCTGGGCTGGGGCCACTCGCCTGCTTCTTCCTCGCTCTGGGGCTCCCGCTCGCTCAGCCCCTCAGTGACTCATCATGTTTATGTTGTTCTTTTCTTCCCTAGGCCCCTGGCCTGCCTCCCTCTCCCCACAGGGACACCCTCCAAACAGGTAGCATATGACCTTCGACTCACCTTTCGGGTAGCATATGACCTTCAACTACTATTTTCAAAACACACAGCAGTCCTGCGGGGTTTCAAAATGTTTGCACAGATGGTGTCAACATAATAAGCCCCATTCTTTTGCTGGTCGCTATGATGTCCCCGGAAGTGGCTTGGCGTATCCATGGGGGCGGGGGCGCGGTGAGGGAGCTCTGCGTGCCCCCTGCCACTGCACCCCCCCCTCATGCCCTCGGGGACAGGAAGGATCCTCCTGGGTCCTTCTCTTCACCTGCTGCCCCAGCTTGGCTTCCAGAGCCGCTGCCCCAGTTCCCTGGTGTGGACAGTTTTCTGTGAAGGCTCTTCCTGCAGGGCCAGGGCCTGGCCTCTCCTGGGCCGGTGGTCCCGCCCTGCCTGCCTGTGAGGGCACTAGCACCCTCTGGGCGCCAGCAAGGGACAGGGGGTCTGGGTTTGGGGGTGCAGCATCAGAGCAGAAAGCGCTCTACAGCTCCTCCCCCACCCCAGCCCCTTCATCTCATTCTTTTTCTTCTGATTAATATTTTATGGTATATAATTCTTACATCATTTTCATTTTTGCACAATGTATGCCTGATCACTTTGCTTCTATTCCCCATACAACTGCACCCCCCTTATTTTGACCCTAGTCCTTCCTCTCCCCGCCCCTCCCCCCACGGGGGTGTCTCTGGTTTACAGCTGCTTGTTGATTTTGATTTTTACTTTGAATTAATTAGCATTTTTCCTGGTCCCTTATTTAGGTTTTCTAAATCCCTGCTCTGAGCGAGATCATTCGGATCATTCGGATCATTCGGATCAGGTCACTCACATCATGCTTCAGGTGACTCATGCTGCAGATCACTCGTGTCCTCCTTAGGGAGGATGCGGGCAGCAGCGGCGCCCGGCCTGGGTTCCGGCCTCCTCTGTCCAGGGCGCCCCGCAGCGGCGGGCCCGGTGCAGCTGCCGAAGGGGGCGGGTGCGCCCCGACCTTCCCGCCGCTCTTCTGCCTCCGGGCTCCCCACTTGCTCGCCTTGAAGGGGGCAGGCGGGATGCTTCCCTCACGAGGCTGTGCAGAGGGGGTGCCGCGCCTCGCGGGCCTCCTCACCCGGAGCCTGGGCTGGGATCCCGACACGGGCTGGCGCCAGGGCGCCCACGGCTCGCCGGCACACCTGTGCACACCTGTGCACACCTTGCACACCTGGATGGGGGTGTGGCGGCCCGGCGCTCCATTGGCTGGCAGGGACGGTGGTGTGGGGCGGGGCGGGGCGGCGGGCCTGGGGCGCAGGGCTGGTCCCCCCAGGTGCGCACTCGGCGGCCTCGCGGGCTCCAGCTCATCCGCGCGCCCGTCCCTGCGGTACTGGACCGGCCCTGCCTCGCCATGAGCCGCTTCGAGGAGGAGGAGGAGGGCAGCTGGAGCCTGTCGTTCGCGGGCGCCGGTTTCTTGGGGCTGTACTACGTGGGCGTGAGCCAGTGCCTGCGAGAGCGCGCCCCGCGCCTGCTGCGCGGCGCCCGCCGCTTCTACGGGGCCTCGTCCGGGGCGCTCCACGCCATCGGCCTCGTCCTCGACAAGCCCGTGGGTGCGCTGGGGCGGGGCAGCGGGGGCGGGGAGCCGGGACCTAGCTGGCCCGCGCAGGGGAGGCTGGCTGAGACCCCAGGGGAGGGCGGGCGGTGGGGCGCGGCGCTGTGACCCCCAGCTCCCTCCCCTTTAACCTTGGAGGACCCTGACAGCGGGGTGATGGCTGGACCTCAGGTCACTTGGGGGCCAAAGGTGGACAGAACTCCTGGCCCAGGGATTGGCACAGAGCCCTGAGCTGGAGGAAGGACCCTCTAATCTCAGGGCACCCAGGTGGGGGGGTCAGCCTTGGGGGCCACGGGGCAGGCCCGCTGGGTGACTGGGGACCCGGCCCCCCAGACTTCTGCTGCCACCACGTCTTGAGCCCGCTGCTGCAGTTGGAGCAGCAGCGCCTGGGCGTCTTTCACCCCTCCTTCGACCCCCTGGAGCACATCCGCCAGCACCTGCAGGAACTTCTGCCCGAGGACGCGTACGTCCTGGCCTCCCAGCGGCTGGGCATCTCGCTGACCCGCTTGCCCGATGGCCAGAACGTCATCGTCACTGACTTTGCCACCCAGGAGGAGCTCATCCAGGTGAGCGGGGTGCCCCCCCGTGCCAGCGGTGGGGGCTTCCGGGGCAGCACTGGTGGCTTGAAGCTCCTCAGCTGGTTCACAGAGGAGGGAGTTGGGGTACAGAGAGAGGCATGAGGCAAGTGTGGAGACGCCCCCCTTGCTGGGGCCCTCTGCACACAGAAGGGTATGTTGGGGAGGGGCACGTCAGACTGTTTTAGTCAGGGACCCCGCAGGGGCTGCTCTTTCTAGAGGGGTGCCTGCCCAGCCCCCACCCCACCCTGGTCCTCCAGGTGCCTTTGACGCCATGGGAGCAAGAGAGGGTGCAAAGGGCCAGTCTCCGTCCCGGGGGCTGTGAGCAGACCAAGGACGGCACAGGGGGGCCCCCGGCCTTCGGGGCGGCTCTTTGGGGAATTAAGAAACAATCCAGATTGAAATGTAAGTGGAGGCCAGGACAGCGCCACCGGCAGGGAGAGCGCGGGAAAGGCTGGAGGGTCCCGGACAGCTCAGCCAGGGAGGCGGGGCAGGGGCGATGGCCCCGTGTTCAGGGGCTGTTCCGGGTGCAATGGGGACAGTCCTGGGACAGGAAGGAGCAGGCGAGGGCCCCCCGGGACGGTGAGGTCAGCCTCTCAGGGGTTTGGGGTTCTCCCCTCTGATTCCCTCAGGACAGAGCAGTTTGTGACCACGAGTGTGATGTTTGTCATTCCAGGCCTTGACCTGTACCTTGTTCTTTCCTTTCTATTGCGGGACGATTCCCCCTGAGTTCCGCGGGGAGGTGAGTGCACGCTCGTCTCCGTGGCCTGCCCCCTGCTCTGGCCGCGGGGGTACCTGTGCTGCGAGGTGTGCGGGTGGAGGGGCCAGAAGGGAGCACTTACTTGTGCCAGGTCCGCCCCTGAACCTGGGGGCCCCGGAGGCTCAGGGTCACCAGCTCCTGCCACTCTCGGCGGGTGGCTGGGGGTGTATGGGAGGGGGCCGTGTCCTGGCCACAGCCCCCCTCTGAATTGCAGCGCTACATCGACGGGGCACTGAGCAACAACCTGCCCTTCTCGGACCACCCCTCCACCATCACTGTGATGCCCGTCAACGGCACAGCGGACATCTGCCCCCAGAGCACCTCGGCCAGCATGCACGAGCTGTACGCCTTCAACACCTGCTTCCAGATCTCCACCCAGAACTTTTCCCTGGGGATCTCCACCCTCATACCTGACAGCCCGGAGGTCGGTGTGGCCGCGGTGCCGTCCATCTAAGGCTGCTCCCGGAAATGAATGTCGAAAGGGCCCCGGGAACCACACACCTCGACCTATAGGGAACCAGGCGATGGTCCAGGCATCCCGGGCCACACCTTGTTACCCCACTTTCCAGAGGGAGGAGCTGAGGCCACGGAGGGGAGAGAGTGGAGCCAGGGCATCCAGTCAGGGGATCTCGGAGCAGGGAGTGAAAGGAGGCTGCAGGGGGGTCCTGTGGCCTTCCCTGCCCGGTGCTGGGGTCTCCCGGGCCCTTGAGCCCCGCCGAAGAGTCTTTGGGGGAGGCCGGCTGGGCTCCAGCTGGAGGCGCAGGTGTCGCCCCTCACCCTCTGTGTGTTGGCAGGAAATGGCCGACTTCTGCAGACAAGGTTACCTGGACGCCCTGCGATTCCTGGAGAGACGTGGTAGGTGGCTGTAGGGTCAGGAAGACCACAGGGCAGGTTTTCTGATCCCATGCAGACCGGGTGAAGGAGGAGTCAGAGTCCTCAGTGGTTTTGCAGGCTTTTATTGGGGTTCACCAGACATAAGGCAGGCAGGGGTGCTGGGAGGCCAGGAGGCGGGCAGGCTCCCAGCCCCCAGCAAGTCTTCACTCTATCTGGGCTCTCCGGCCTTCCCTGCTTCTCTCTCGGCTTCTGCTACTTCTTTTTCGGCTTCTGTTTCGGCTTCTACTGGCGTCCCCGTGACGCCGCCCCCAAAAGCACAGTCTTGGCCCAGGTGTACCCACTTCAGGTGCCCGCCATCAGGCATGCATCCAGGATCACAGGGCTCCCTCATCCATCCTGATGGTGGGAGGGCAGAAAAGCCCGATTTTTTACCCTCCCCACAGTGGCACCCCTACCATAGGTCCCCACCCTAGCTGGGGGCGCGCCCCACACGAGCATGTGAGGGTCCTGCTTCTCAGCATCCACCCTGTGCTTGGCCTGAGCTGGATGCTGGGATCCGGAGAGAAATCACACCTGTGGGGCTTCACTCCAGGGAGATAGGGGGATGCTCAGGGATGTGGGGGCCCAGAGGGGGCAGTGGCCCAGCAGGCAGGGGCAGGCAAGGAGGACTTCCTGGAGGTGGTGACCATTGTGCTGGATTTTGGCTAATTATGAAGACTAGAGTAGGAACATTGAAGAGAGAAAAGAAGAGGAATGTTTAGGCAGGGGGAGGAGAGAGAGAGAGAGAGAGAGAGAGAGAGAGAGAGAGAGAGAGAGAGAGAGAGAGAGAGAGAGAGAGTGTTAGTTCACGGAACAGCAGGAGGGCCAGAAATTTCTCAGCTGGAGCTGCTCCCCAGGCGATGCGCTTTCACCCAGCAGCGCTGAGTTGTGAATTTAGGTTGTGTGGTGGAGAGAAGCCGATCCGGGCTGGGCCTTTGTGTATTGTCTCATGTAATTCTCAGGGAAACATGCAGGGCGGGGCTCCATCTCCCCCATCCACAGAGAGGGACACCGAGGCGCGGCGCTGTTAGTCACACAAGGAGCGTTAGCGACACCAGGGTTTGAACCCCGAGCTGGGCCTTTGGGATCTGGGCTCTGATTAACCACTGGAAAGCGTGTGGGGAGCAGATAAGGCTGGGGAGAGCAGGAGCGGGTCCTGTGGACGACCCACGGGTCCGCCCGGCAGCCAGCATATCCCCAGAGCTGGGCTTGGGAGGGACAGCACCAGGAGGCTCCAGGGGTGCTGCTCTGTCACATTCTCCCGTCCCCTGACCTAGGACTCACCCAGGAGCCGGTGCTGAGGACGCTGGTGTCTAAGCAGCCCCCCGCCCCAGCCCAGGGGACCCGGGATGCTGGCGATGATGGAGGCCAGCAGGCGGCGCTGTCGCTCGACTGGACCGTGCCCAGTGTGCTGATCCAGGATGTGCCTGACTTTGAGCGGCTTTCACCAGAGCTGGAGGCTGGTAAGCCCCTTCCCGGCTCTTGTCACCACTGGCGTCCTGCACAGAGGGGCCTGGGCCAGGAACCCTGCCCTGAAGGTGATTGGGACTCATTTATTGAGCACCCACTAACTGACTGCCAGGCGGGGTGCCAAGTGGGGTGCCAGGTGGGGTGCCAGGGTCCTTTTATATGTTGTATGTCTTTCACTCCTCACCACAAAAGTGGACCCAAGTAAGTTTTCTTACCCCATTTCACTGATGAGGAAACCGGAGTCCAGAAAGGGGCGGGGGGATAAGCCAAGGTCTCAGCCTGGGGCTGGGGCTTCAGACCCATGTCCAAGCCTGAGCAGGCCAGGTCTTTGCCCACAGCCCAGGAAAGGGCAGGAGGCACAGAGGGACCTCAGAGAGGCCCACGTGGAGGTGCTGGACTCACATCTTCCTCCCAACATTGCTCTGAGGATGGTACTATGGAGACGAGGAAGCCAAGGCACAGAGAGGTTAAGGGACTTACCCAAGGTCACACAGACAACAGCTAGTAAAGACCGGAGCTCTGCCCTGCACGATCCCTGCTCCCCGCTCGGTGACCCGAACGCTGCAGCCCGGGAAAGGACAGGCACCTGTGATGTGGGGGTGTTTGAGCAGCATCTAAGGGAGACTTAGAAGGAGGAGCTGGCTGGGCAGAGGGTGTCCAGGCAGAGGGCGTAGCATGTGCAGATGTCCGCGTTTGAGAGGGGAGCTGCAGGCCCCGTGGCTGGGGCGGGGTAGCAGAGATGAGCTGGAGGAGACTGGAAGGGCTCGGCAGTGGCCTCCACAACCGTGCCCGGAGAGAGATGGAAGGGGCTACTGGAAGGGGTCCTGGGGGACGGCCCTTCCTTCCCAGAGTTCTCCGCTGGCTCAGTGTTTGCGGCACTGAGCTGAAGAGGTCGGCGCCTGGGAAGAGAGGCGCGGCCTGGTCAGAGCAGGGACAGCGCCGGCAGGAGGGTGGGGTGGGGAGGCGACGGGTCTGGAGACTCCCGGGCGGCGCCAGCGTCGCAGCAGCAGGCCTGGGTGTGCAGGACGCGGCGGCTGCGGGCTCTGGAGCCCTGGGCCTCGTCCCCGCGACTGCGAGGGGGCACCAGAGAGCTGTCTCGGCCTGAGCCTGGTGCCCGGCCCGGAGGCCAGGGTCCCGCAGACGCCTTCTCGGCCAGGGGGTCCTTGCCTGGCCAGGCCCAGTCCACGGGCGGTGGGCCCTGCGGGCTCCCAGTTCTCAGAGGAGACAGCGCAGGCTCGGGAGGGGAGGAAACGCCCAGGAGACGCGGCGGGCTGGAGGGGTGGCGGCAGGCAGCCATGCCCTGGCTTCTCTCGCAGCTCTGCGGAAATCATGCACGAGGGACTCCAGGCCCTGGGCCCGCTTCTGCCGCTCGGGCCCGGGCCGCATGCTGACCTACCTGCTGCTGCCCTGCACGCTGCCTGTCCAGTATGTCTACTTCCGGGGCCGAAGGTGAGGCTCCGCACAGCCCGGGAAGCGCTGGCTGGTCCCCCCGGCCCCGCCGCCTGGTGCTGGTGGCATGACCCGCAGGAGCCTTGCCGGGCTGTGGGCTTGGCTCCTCTGCAGAACGGGACGAAGGGGAGGCGCTGTGGCGGCTCCGAAGGTCACTGGGGCGATGGGCACTGGGGCTTCCTGGCCAGCAGCCCCACCCTTCTCCCCCACCCCGTCTCTAGGACCGTTGGCCCGTGGCTCCTGCTGTCCGGGCCCCAGACAGAGCGTGCTGTCCCTGAGAGTAACTCGGGGGCCGGTCTGGCTCCCCTCAGCTGGGGGGTGTCCTCGCCTCCCTGGGCCTGCTTCCTTTTCTATAAAACAAGGCCCTCTCAGGGCAGACTGGCTGGTTAGGCCCTCAACAGCCCTCCTCACTCCACTGACGCCTGGGTCAGCTCGCGGGGTGGCCCCCGCATCCCACTGGAGCTGGAGGCAGCCTCACAGGCACCAGTCAGCGCACACTCACCTGTGCAGCCCCAACTCTGCTAGGGTCCCCGGGGAGTCCCCACTACTGTGGCCTGGGACAGTCCCACTAGGGGCCGTCTGGCTGGATGGCTGCCTGGAGGAGGTGGAATGGGTGAGAATTCACTGGGCAAGAGGGAAGAGAAAAGCATTCCAGTGGCTGGAGCAACACGTGCTGAGGTCCTGGGGCAGCTGCGGAAGGGAGTGAGGCCGAGTGCTGACAAGAGGCTGGGGAGGCTGGCCGGGGCTGGGCACGCGGGGCTGTGCTGACAGAAGAGTGAGGTCTCTGTCCTGACAGTGGAGGGAAGGCAGGGGAGGGTCTCAGCAGGGCAAATCGCATGAAGTCTGTGTTTTTCACAATTCTCTGCTCCCTGGAAGAAGGTCTGTGACTGAGCCACAGGCCTCTGTCTTGCTTCATATTGAGCTAGTGCCTGGGCAGCAGCGGGCAGCTGTTTAAATGGTCAGCGGCCCAAGCTGGCAGCAAGCTTTCTGCTGACACAGGCTCTCCTTAGTCAGCTAGCCGAGATGCCAGACTGAAACCACAGGAAGTCAAGAAGGATAAATGCTAAGTCTAGCCTTTCCGGTCCAAAAAATTCCTATGTGAGTACCAATGGGGAGACTGGCCCTGGCCACAGTTCATACTTGGGTCTCTTCTGAAAACTATATGTTCGACAGGTAGGTTGTAATAATAGAGGCAAGAGGTTTAGAATGAAGGAGGTGATGGAACAGCTTATGCTTGCTTGTCACACTACACCCTGTGCAATGTCTGTACAGTTTGAGGCACCTCTAAGGGAAATTTGTTGGGGTGAAGCCCTGCCATGCCTAGGGACTCCGGGGTATGCTCTCAGTCAGAGTTGGACAGCCCAGCCCTTTGCTGGCCCTGCAGGGCCCAGCCAACGTGGGGAGCCAGGAGAGGGTTTTGATGGTCAAGTGTGTGTTTCAGGAAGGTCACTGGCTGCTGAGAGGAGCGTGGAGAAGGGTGTGGAGTGGCAGGCAGGGGCTGGCCAGGACCGAGGTGTGGAGGAGCCTAGGAACTGCAGGCGAGTTGAAGGTCCTCAAGGACAGGCGAGGAAACTGAGACCCAGAGTTTCCCTGACCAGCCCAGATCACATGCTGATAAGCAGGAGAGAAGGGGGCTGGGGAGGCTGCCCCTTGCATCCTCAAGACAGCTGAACCCCAAAGTCTGACCATTCTACCCCTGGTCTCCCCACTTGTGCCCTGAGGGGCCTGGCTACCTCCACCAAGTTCAGGGTCTTCCGGCCTTTGCAGGCCCTGGGAGGGCTGCTGGACTGGGCCTTGAGCTCAGACTCAGCTGGCGAAGCTGTCGCTGCTACTTCCTTCAGGCTGGTGATGTGGCTGCCCGATGCGCCAGCTGACCTGTGGTGGATGCAGAACTGCCTGAGGCGCTTGACCCTCAAGGTCTACTCCAGGACGAAGGGCCAGGTCTGGAGGGCTGGCCAGGTGTGCTGGCAGATGGGCCTGCGCCGGAGCTGGGGGGCTGTGTGGGTGGGTGGGGGACACGGTCTCCTTGGACTTGGACAGGGAGGGCCTGAGCGATCACAGGGGCCAGTCTGCAGGTCCCACTCGGGCAGTCACTTTCCCCTCACAGACACAGCTAGAAGTTGGGATGAAGAGCAAGAATCCACGGGTGCTGACTGGAGACCCTGCAGCCCTCCCCTCCCTTCTGTGGGCCCTTTGTTCAGCCAGGACCCCAGCCTAGCACTCCCAGAGCATGGCCACCCGAACCTGCCCACCACTCCTGGCTCAGCCAGATCAGGGCCTGGGGTGCTTCCACATGGTGGGATTTGGGAGAGTAGCCCAGGGCTGCCCTGTCTGTCACCCACTCCCAGGGCCTGAAAGCCCACACTCACCAGCATCCATTTCCCCCACAGCTCGCTGGTTACCAGTACCCGCCAGCCCGGGGCAGCTCGTGTGGACCTGGCCAGGTAGCCCAGACGCACCCATCGAGGCCAGCCCGGTGACTGCGCCCTGCCCTGTCTCAGCCCGAGTCCTTTGTGCCCAATTTTGCCCCCAGTCCTTGAGTATCCTCTTCTGCAGCTGAGTCCAGCCCCTGGCCCAAGGCGGGCACTGGGATTGTTGGCTGCGTGGAGGACTGAGGAGAAAGCCCCCCTTTCCTCTCAGACGCTCCCAGATCAGGGAGGCAGGGGTCCCCAGGAACAGGAAGGGACCTCTCCAGCCACCCTGGGGCCTCTGCTCCTTAGAGCCAGCCCCTCGGGCTGCGGGGCTTTATCTCTGGGGAAGGCCTGTGGTATGTCTCTAGGCCACTGGAGGAATGGGGGAGGGACATGGAGGCAAGTGTGAGAGAGAACTGGGGGCAAAGGAATAAATGTGTGAACAAAAAAACCAAGTGATTCATTCACTCATTCATTCGTTTGATCCATACGTAATGAGTTACAGGCTCTGGGCACACAGCTGTGGACAACACTTGCACTCTGGCAGAGCGGATGCTCAACATCAACAGGGACAGTGACCGCAAGAGCATCCTGAGGGGTCAGTCTGTGACGTGAAGGAGAGCGTGGGGTGGGCTGGGGAGGTTGGGGGGCAACTGGAACCAGGGGGCCAGGAAGGCTTCCGTGAGGTGAGCCTTGGGGTGGGATAAGGATGAAAGATGAGAGGAGAGTTTGCAGGAGGCAAGAACAAGAACCGAAGCCCTGAAGTGAGCGTGAGGTGACGTGGTCTTTGGGGGGGCCCCGGGAGCCCTGGGGGTGGGGCAGCCGGCAGAGGCTGGTCACAGAGGCCGCTGTCAGCATGATGAGGACTGGATTTGGGCAGTCGTTGGAGGGTGCAGAGCAGGGCAGCAAAAAGGTGAGTGTAGAGTGGGTGAGTGGAGCTCCTGGAGGGCAGGAGGCAGATGGGGGGGGGGTTCGAAGAGCTCTTCTCTTTTAGGGATCTACAGTAAAAATAGTCATGAATGAAAGGATAAAATACTGATACTTTCAAAAAATAATCCGGATGGGGAAGGGTGAGTGAGAGTTGATGAAATGTGAGTTGCCACCAGTTGACAGAGGGGGAAGGGTACATAGAAGTTCCTTAGAACTAGTCTAATTTTGCATATGCTTGATATTTCCAAAATAAACACATCATTATCCTTAAAATTTGACCGTACGTGCAAGTAGAAAAACACACATGGACACAGAACAGGGAGCTGCGCTCCGCAGTCCCGGGCGGGCAGGGCCCGGGAGCCGCTGGTTTCAGCACCGCGGACAGCGGCCCCGGCTGCCAGGCTGGCCTGGCTGGAGACTGGAGGGCGGAGAGCTGCCCCCTTCCAGACCCTGCAGACGGGGCATTTACTGCCCGGGGGGCGGGGCAGGCTTTGGTGGGCATTTTTGGCTCCTAAAAAGGGTGTTTCCCACTCTTTAAGGATGCCTTTGTCAAAAATTAGGATGTGCGTGCATCCATCTGGGAGCTCTATTCTGCGCTGTTGATCCTCGGCCACCGTATGTCAAACCCGCGCCACATACAGCTTCAAGGCATGTAGTTTAATAGTAAGTCATAAAATGTGATAGCATGAGCCTTCCAGCTTAGTTATTCTTTTTTTTTTTAAAGATTTATTTATTTATTTATACAAGCACTGGGTACAGTCAGAAGCGCGGGAGGGTGAGAGAATTCACCAGAGCCAGAGCGGGGAGCAGAGCAGGCAGAAGGACCGAAGGACACTGCTGAGGGGAGCAGCGGGCGGCAGGAGAGGTCTGCGCGCCATGGGGGACCCTCCTCTGGTGGCCGGGGAGCAGCCGGGGATCGAACCGGCGCCGCAGAGGCTGCGGGCAGCTTCGCAACCCAGCACTCAACCGCTGCGCCACCGGGGAGGCCCCAGCTTAGCTATTCTTACTCAAAATTGTTTTGACTGTTCTAGGTTCTCTGCTTTTCCACGTAGAATTTAGAACCAGCTTCTTAATTTCTACAAAAGTGCATGCTGGGCTTTTGCTTGGGATTGTATAGTAAAGACTATTGGTGAATTTGAAAAGAATGAGCATCTCTACAATGTTGACTTTTCCAGTCCACAACGTGGGTATCTTTCTGTCTCAAGTTTTAAAGATTTTTATTTCATTTCTCACATCGGTGTTTTGTAGCTTGTCACACATCTTTTTAAAAGATTTATTCTTAAACATTTAATTTTTTGATGCAAATAGTAATTTAAATGTTCAGTTTTCAATGACCGGTTGCTAGTATGTAGAGCTAGAACTGCCTTCTGGTTTTGGCCTTGCTAAACCGATTTATTAGTTCTAGTAGCTTTTTTGGTTTTGTAGATGCCTCAGGATTTCCTATAAAAAGTTTTTCTTTTCAGTTTTGTGCTGAAAAAGACTTAAGCCTATAGAAAAATTAGAAGAAGTGATACAACGGTGGTAAGCAGAATAGTACTCCCCACCCCTGTGTTATGTGACTATGTTGTGTGTCAAAAGGAATGGAGGTTGCAGATTAAATAAGATTAATCAGGGCCTCCCCGGTGGCGCAGCGGTTGAGTGCTGGGTTGCGAGGCTGCCCGCCGCCTCTGCAGCGCCGGTTCGATCCCCGGCTGCTCCCGGCCCCCGGAGGAGGGTCCCGCATGGCGCGCAGACCTCTCCTGCCGCCCGCTGCTCCCCTCAGCAGTGTCCTTCGGTCCTTCTGCCTGCTCTGCTCCCCGCTCTGGCTCTGGTGAATTCTCTCACACTCCTGCGCTTCTGACTGTACCCAGTGCATGTATAAACAAAACAAACAAACAAACAAACAAATAAATAAAACATGCCTCTATTAAAAAAAAACTAAAAAAAAATAAAATAAAATAAATAAGATTAATCAGCTGACCTTCAAATAGACTATACTGGATTACTGGGTGGGCTCAATGTAACAGGGATCCTTAAAAGTGGGAGAGAGAGGTGGGAGAAGAGTCAGAAGTGGACTAATGTGATGTGAGAAAGACCAGGCTGGCCAGTGCCGGCTCTGAGGTGGAAGAAGGAGCAGCAGTGAAGGAATGCGGGCATCTCAAGAGGACTGCAACCTGCACACCAGAGAAACGGCTACCTGGGTTGGTGATGAGGGAGAAGCTCACGTTCGCTGATGTACCCACTAGATGTGCTGGGTGCTGCCAGTCTAGGACACAGATGGAGGGGGTGAGGTGCAGAGGGTGTGTTAGAGCTGACCCACTTTGTACCTGTGCCCACACCCCTTAGCCACTGGAGCGGGGCGAGGAGAGCAGCTGGGCAAGGCAGGACCATGAGAGGATGGGGGAGTGGCCAGTCCAGAACTTGTCCTGGGAAGGTGGAAGCAGGGGGACACCGTTGAGCACAGGAGCCAGCGCCTCCAACACCCTGGAGGCGGCCGACCCTCCACCCACCGGCCCCACATGAAGCACTGTCCTGACCTTGCAGCTTTGCTTGTCCTTGAACCCTGAACCTTGTCCTTGCATGTAATGGCACAACACAGGCCCTTTGTATTCGGCTTCTGTGCTTCATTGTTTTGACTGTGACATTTACCTGAGGCGACGCACACACCGGTCATTCTTTTTATCTCTGTGTAGTAAGGACCCATTGTCTGACTGTATCACAATCTATCCAGGCTGGTGCTGATGGACAGTCGGTTGTTTGCAGATTTTACCAATTATGCACAAATTGTTCCTGCCTTGCCTCGGGAGCTGACGCCTGTGTCCTTTCCACCCAACCCCGTACTTCTGAAAATTACTTTTTGGCCCAATAACATGTTTCAGGTTCATTTGGTACTGGCTGTGCTCTGGAATTACCCTTTTCTCTGAGAAATCCTGGGTACTTTTGCTGGAAGTACTTAGGGACCAAGATCTGGGCACACACCTAGCATTCCTGGATCCCTGTGTCTAAGGACCTTTCCAGCAAAGACAAATACACATTTTTCTCCAAATAGTCAGCCCATGGCAAAGCCGCAGGTGCCTGTCCACACCCGCGCTCCCCCACGGAGACGCCTACCCGGCGCAGCAGCGCGTTTCCTCTTTCTCCCGAGGCCACAGTTCGTGACGAGCTGCCCCTGCGCCTTCACCTAAATGATCTCGGCAGCGTCCGGCCCGGGAAGGGCCTCCGTGTCTGCGAAGACGCGGGAAGGAGTCTCTGTCTTCTCCTCCCGGCCTCGCCGCGTCTGTCCTTGGCGGGGCTGCACGAGTCTCAGCCTGGAGCCGGCGGAGGGGCCCGGGGTCCTGCGCCCCGCAGGGCGGCGGCGGGGCTGGAGGTCACCATGCCCGGCTCAGCGCGGGACAGGGGCGCTGCGAGAATTCCAGGGGGGCTTTGCCTTTTGTTTTAACCGTCCCAGGCAGGGAGCGCCGCTGCTTGCAGCTTGTGGAGGGAATGTCGGGGTGAAGGTTCCCTAAAACCTCTTTAGAATTTGGCTTCCCAGGCCGTGGCGCGCTCGGGCGCACCCGGCACGCGCAGCTGCCCGAGTCCAGGCCGGCGGGGGGCGGGGGGGGGGGGGGGGCGCCCTGGAGTCCAGCCCCCGGCCCGGCTCGCCGAGGGCTGGGGAGGGCCCGGGGGACCCCCAAAGGCGCCGGGTCCCCCGCGCCCCCGCGAGCCGGGCGCGCGCCGGGGCGCCCCGGGGCGTGTCCCCGCGTCCGCGAGCGCGAGCGCCGGCCCGGTGGGGGTGGGGGGGCGGGGCCGCGGGTCCCCGCCGCGGGGGTCCGGGGCCGGCGGGCGGGGCCATGACGTCATGGCGGGAGCGGGCCGCGCCGGCGCGGGGCGGGGCGGCGCCGTGACGTCACGCCTGCGGAGGGGCGCGCGGGCGCGCGGGCGGGGGCGCGGGCGGGCGGGCGCGGCGGCCGGAGCGGCGGCATGGCGGAGAGCGAGGCCGAGACCCCCGGCACGCCGGGCGAGTTCGAGAGCAAGTACTTCGAGTTCCACGGCGTGCGGCTGCCGCCCTTCTGCCGCGGGAAGATGGAGGAGATCGCCAACTTCCCCGCGCGGCCCAGCGACGTGTGGATCGTCACCTACCCCAAGTCGGGTGAGCGCGCCGCCCCGCCCGCCCGCGCCCCCTCGCCCCGAGGCGCCCCCCGTGCGCCCCCCGTGCGCCCTCGCGCGCCCCCCCGCGCGCCCCCCGTGCACCCCCCGTGCGCCCTCCCCGCGCCCGCCCGCCGCCCCGCGCGCCCCCCGCGCGCCCCCCCGAGCGCCTCCCCCCCGTGCGCCCCCCCGCGCGCCCCCGAGCGCGCACCCCCGCGCGCACCCCCGAGCGCCTCCCTCCCGTGCGCCCCCTCGCGCGCCGCCGGGGTGGGGTGGGGTGGGGGCGGGTACCCCGGCCGGAGACCCTCGCCGCTGACCCCGGGAGCGGCGCGCTGGACAGCGCCCCGGGGAGAGGGGGCCGGTGGGGCCCCTCCCGCGCCCCGCACGCGGTGTGACCTTGGCGGCCGCTTAACCTCTCTGTGCTGGACCCGGCGCAGCTGGCGCGGGGGCGCCCCTCACGCGCGGGGCGGGGCCTGGGGGGGAGCAGGGCCGCGGGGCTGAGCCTGCCTCTCCGTCTGCGTGGGCGCGGGTGGGGGATGGAGCCGCCCTGCCCGAGGGCGAGCCGGGGAGGGGCCCGCGCGGGGAGGGGCCCGCGCCTCAGGCCGCCGCCGCAGCCCTGCACCCTGGCGTCGGGCAGGCCCCTGGCAGCAACCTTTTGCAGAGCAGCTGACGTCATACTTGCCGGCACCCCGGGAGATGTAGATGGTCATCCCCACTTCGCAGTCTAGACTCTGGGGTGCAGAGGGGCAAGTGGCCAGGCCAAGGTCGCAGGGCAGATGAGCCGCAGAGCTGAGATTCTAGGCAGGACCTGCTGTGCCTCTGGGAAGGTTTGTGGGCGAAGGAGGCGCCCCCCTGTCCTTTGACACGCCTGGGGGCCCCCTTGGTGGAGAGTCAGGCTGTGCAGTGTGCCGGGGCTGCGGGCCCTGAGGCCGTGCTGGGCCAGCCGGCAGGTGCTGGAAACTGGACCTTGCCTGTGGGGCTATGTGGGGGCCCCAGATCTCCCCAGGCTGAGCCTCTGAGGAAGTTGGGGAAGGGGTGCTGGGGAGAGGTGGGACACCGTGGTGGGGGAGCTTGGAGAAGTTTGTGGTACTGTAGGGGTGTCCTTGGGGAGATAGCGAGGAAGGAGAAGCCACTGTGACCAGGGACTTCCTCCCGCCGCTGCCCCAGCGCCTGCCCCTGCCCAGCCCCCCCCACCAGCCCCACGGGCCCAGCGGTTAGGTTGCCAGCCTTGCTCAGGCGTGCTGCCAGACCCCAGCTGGGTGTGGGGCGGCACCGGGGGCCCCCCGGAAAATTAAAGTTTGCCTCTTTCAGGTTTAGGGAGGTTGTGGAATTTGTGAGCTAGTTGGGGAGCTGCTCTTCGGGGTTCAGGATCACAGAGGAGGTGTGCTTCGGCGCTAGCACCTCCGTTTGCGGCCCAGAGACAGAGGCTGAGAAGTTGAGTAGCTGGAAGGGACAGGATGGCCCAACCCGGGGTGCACTCAGAAAGCTGTGTACCTGGGGCTGGTGGGGTGCTTCAGAGGGTCCCTGCATGGGGGGCCTCGCGGGGCTCCACCCTGGACTTCCTGAGCACCTTGATGGGGAAGGGGGTATTTGAGGAAGTTTCTAGCCAAAACTCAAATCTCGTTTGTAAGGCCTGGGTTGTTAGCCCTGAGAGGAAACAGGTGGCTCTTTCCCTTGGTGACAGAGACCCAGTGACGGCCTCCCGGCCCCTGTGAAGTCCCCAGGATACCCTCGGGGGCTGTTTGCTACAACAGACAGTCCCCCAGCCTCCTGGTCTTTGCTGTTTGTTGGTAACATCCCACCCCCTCTCTGCTTCTTGGGCACCACCATCTCCCCTGAGGCCCTGCTGCCAGCCAGGGCCAGTTGGACGTGTGTGTCAGCCAGGAGCAGGTGGCATCACTCACCAGACAGGGACTGCCCCCACCCAGCCTGTCAGCTCCCCGCCCTGCGCCTCCATGTCACAGGCCCTGGTCCCCAGGGCTCTGGGAGGCAGATGGGAGCTGGGCTCCGCCTGTGGCGGTGAAGCAGAGGCTGCAGGCGGCCAGTGTCTTGCCTGAGCTCGTGGGTGTTGCGTCGACCCGCATGCTCGGTCCCGCTGGGCCTCCTTTCCGGCCTCAGCCTGGCTCAGGGCTTCTCCTGAGTGGGCAGGACGGACAGATGCCTGTGCCACGTGCCAGCCGTGCTCCCCAAGCCTGTCGCTCTCATGTCACCTTGACGTTCCTTGTGTGGAACGATGGAAGGACCCAGAACTGGCCCCAGGTCTGCCCTAGCCGTCTCCATGGGCTGCGGGGCAGCCGGACGAGCAAGGCAGGGCTGCTGTGGGTGTTGGGGTCCACGCTGAGTGCATCCTCCAGGGCTCCTGTGCAAAGACGCTCAGAGGCTCAGAGAAGGCAGGGAGTGGGGGAGCGGGGGGCGCGTGGAAACTGTCACGTGAGAGGGAAGCCCCAGCTCTGCCCCTGGCTGGTCCTGGTGCCAGGGCTCCCCAGGGGAGCGGAGGCGTCTCTCGACGGTGGGGGTGGTCAGGGAAAGCCAGCCTCTTAGAGGAGAGGAACAGATCTGCCTGGGCACAGGCTGTGGGGGGGGGGGGGGAGCTGCTGAGCACAGGGAAGATCTCCAGTGACACCTCCAAGGAAGCGGGGGCCGTACCTTAGGGGCCTGTGCAGAGAACTTGGGGGCCTTCCTGGGTAGCGAGGTGCTAGGCCCCTCATATCTACAGGGAGAACCTGCAGAGAGGTCTCAGCAGGGCTCACCCCACTTGCAGCTGAAACATGCTCTTCTGGAGTCCCAAATCCAGGCGGGGGGCCTGTCCAGGCCAGGGTGCTGGGACAGCCCATGGGGTGGCTGCCTGGCGGGGCGTTGGTTAGCACGCCTGTGGGCCTGTGGGGGCTGGGCCCGCCAGCCCGTGGGGGGCAAGCATGCTGGACCCCATGCTCCCCCCCCCAGTGGCCTGTGTCCACAGCCGGGCCGTGGGGCTGGGCTTTGCCGCCCGTTGTGCCGGATGCCAAGCTGATGCCGTCTGGCTAAGGCACGTGGGGGTTTGCTGCCTGCCCGCACTTGCACATGACCACCTGACCAGTGAAGAGCGGTGCTAGCTCCCCACTTGTCCCAGTGTCCCCCCCGAGGCCGTGACCAGACAGCACAACTCTCCCCGTCACTGGCGCTCATGCACACGGACGTCACCCAGTGGCCACCGTGGCCCCACTGCTGCGCTCCCGCGGCGCTGGCCCCGGGTTTCCGTGGCCGGATCCAGGCCGGTGCCCCCTGGCCTGAGTGTCACTGTTAATTCGCGCACCCTGCTTTGACGGACGTCGCTGTTGTGACTAGTGCGGCTGGTTTGTTCTAGAACGTGCCGCTGTTATCCTGGGGGTGCCCGGGAGGCGTCCGGGGATTGCAGGAGGCTTGCAGGCCGCGGTGTGTGCCGCAGGAGTGGTGCGGGGTCGACGCTCAGGGCCCCGTGGTGGTCCTTGTAAATGATGACTTGGCAGGTGCGTCTCCCGGGACCCTCAGGGCTCCCCGGGAGACCAAAAGCCCCGCTTGGGAAGCCCCAGGACAGCACAGCGCTGTGACCCCGTGACCCCGGGCGGCCGTGTGACGTCTTGTGAGCGTCTCCTGAGCTGGGGCTGGCTCGCCGCCGGGTCCCCCATTCCATGGACTCGCGGTGCCCTGGTTCCCCGGCCCTCGGCCATGGCGGCCCTTCCGCGCGCTCACCCCCCGCCCCCGCAGGCACGAGCTTGCTGCAGGAGGTGGTCTACCTGGTGAGCCAGGGCGCCGACCCCGACGAGATCGGCCTGATGAACATCGACGAGCAGCTGCCGGTCTTGGAGTACCCTCAGCCCGGCCTGGACATCATCAAGGTGCCCGCGCCCCCAGTGACCGTTCCTCGGGGGCTCAGGGCCCTGATGGGTGGGGGGAGAGCACAGAGCTCCGCTCCCCCCGGGCTGTCAGGCCCGAGCGGGACAGTGGCCCCGGGATGGATGACCGGTGAGCCCGGCCGGTGCGCGACCCGGCCCCTGCCTCGCCCGCCCTCTCCCGTCCCGGCCGTGGCTCACCCCTGCCAGGGGAACCGGGCCGGTGCTTTGGCATCGGATATTTGCTATCGGTGAGAGCAGCCTTCTCCCGGAGCCCCGGACGAGCACTGGAGAGGCCGCTGGGAGCACCCCTCCCCGCTCAGTCTCGCCCACGCCCCTCGCTGGCCTCACCGACCCGCCTGTGGGAATCGCCAGCCGCCTCCTGCAGCCTCCCTGGGCCATGGCTGGGAGAGTGGCAGCGGGGTGCCATGGCCCCCACAGGACCCACCCAGAGGGGCAGGAGTGACTGGTGGTTAAACGTGTTCGGCACTGGCCGGGGAAGGAAGCGCCAGGCCAGGCCTCGTGGGGTGTCTGAGAGATGCCCCAAAGAGCAGGGGAGAGGGCGGGCGGAGGCGGGGCCCTGTGCCTTCTGCCCTCGGGGCCCGCGGGGCTGTTCTGGCCACTCCAGACCCCAGGCCACGCCGTGGTTTCCTGGGGCCTGGTGGCATCTCCAGTGAGGGGCCGTGGAGTGGCCGTCCTGGCTCTGGCCAAGCCCCCCGCGCGCTGGGCCCGAGAAGGCCCGGGCTGCCCCTCTGACAGCCTTTCCCGTGACCCCACAGGAGCTGACGTCACCCCGTCTCATCAAGAGCCACCTCCCCTACCGCTTCCTGCCGTCCGACCTCCACAACGGTGATTCCAAGGTAGCTTCTCCCGCCCCAGCCGTCCCTGCACGGCCTGCTGCCCAGAGAGCCCGGGAGGCCTGGGGGCGCCGAGGCCCCCCATCGCCTGCATCTCACCCGTGTTCTCTAGGTTTTCCCTCCCACTTGAACATGGACTTGATCACCCCCCACCCAGCCTCTGCCCGTGGCAGGCCGAGGACTCGCGGCCGCGCGCTCTGTCCCCAGTTGTCCCCGTCTCCTCAGCCGCGTTAGGCTGGTGAGGCCCGTGGACGCATCCGCAGGCTCAGGGCCGCCCCGTCTCTCTCTGCCGACGGCAAAGCTGCGCCCGAGGCAGAGCAGAGCGATGTGCTTGCGCGGTGCCCCGCAGGCCTTGGCGGGCCAGAGGTCTCTGCTGCAGCGGGGACAGGCAGTGGCATCTGGGCAGGCGCGTGGGCCGGCGGGCGGGCGGGGGCGCCCCCTACCTGTTCCCGTGCCCCTCAGGTCATCTACATGGCCCGAAACCCCAAGGACCTGGTGGTGGCCTATTACCAGTTCCACCGCTCCCTGCGGACCATGAGCTACCGGGGCACCTTCCAGGAGTTCTGCCGGAGGTTCATGAATGACAAACGTGAGTGCGCGGCCTGCCGCCCGTCCTCGTGCCTGCCTCCCTCCCTCCCTCCCCACCTCCGCTCTCGCAGTGACCGCCCCACCAGGCGGGCCTGCTCCTGGGGTCCTGGAAGCTCCTCCTGTCGGCGGGTTCCGCTCCAGCCCTTCCCTTGCCACGTCCGTGGCTCGGGACAGAGGGGCTTCAGCTGCTGCGGGGCCTTAGGACTCGGGCGCTGTGGTGGTCCTGGCCCCTCCTGCCGGCTCCGCACAGAACCAGCAGGGAGGCGGGGAGAAGAGGCCCAGGTGTCTGTCCTTGGTGCTGGAGGGAGAGGCGGCTGGGGCTCCGTCTGAAGCCCTGTGGCCTTCAGCTGATCTCGAGCCTCAGGCCAGTGTGATGAGGTGGGGCCGACTTGTGGCGGAGGCAGAAGCAGTGTCTGTGCGGGAAGCTGTTCCCCGAGGGGAGGCTGTCGGGGGCTCTGCTGTACCCTGGGGTGGGGGGAGTCTTGGCTGCCGCAGGCCCAGGGCGGGAGCCGCCCCTCCCTCTGCTCGCTCCTCCCTGGCCTGGCTGTCCCTCAGCAAGCAGTCAGCAGCGCCTCAGAGTTTCCGGGCTCCTTGTGGCTTCCCTGGTCTGCCAGAGGGCAGTTTAGTTGGGGTTTGCACCCCAAGAATCTTTTAAGTGAGTCCTGTCTGGACTTTAACAAAGCCAGCAGTGGACGCCTCTGTGCCCAAGTCGGAAAAGATGCCTTTGTGGTTAATTTCCCATCTCGATGCTCAGCCTCGTTGTCCGCTCGCGCAGCCGGCCCAGGGGCTGGCATGGGATTAGGAGAAAGTGCACAGCCACAGAAATGCAGGATTGGTGCCCCCAGCTTAAATGGGGCTCAGGGTGGCCTAACTGGAGCTGCCCCCAAGGCCTGGCCACTGGAGGCCTAGGGCCACCCTGCTCCCTGCCTTCCTGGGAAGGAGGGGTACAGAGAGGCGAGGCCCCAGGTAGAAGGGGTCCTGGGACAAGGGTCATGGAAGGAGGCCACATTATCTGTGCCCTAAGGCCCCTGGAACAGCTGGGGACCCTCTGTCCAGCCTGCCCGCAGCCTGCCCACCCTTAGGCCCCTCGTGGCTTGGGGGACATTTGCAGCACCACTCACGGGGCTCCCAAAGCCTGGTTCTTGGATCCCCGCGTCTGCAGCACGGGAGCAGCACCTGCAGGGGTGACGGCCCCAGGACCTGATGTGTCCTGCCGCCTGGTGCGGGCTTCAGCGCTCTGCGGGGCCAGAGCAGCGGCAGGTGGCCCCGGTGCGGCCCGATGCTGAGGGAGGCCGGCACCTGCCACGGCCCCGCCCGACCCGCTGGTCCCTCCCTGGGCCCTGAGGCTCTCTGTTGTCACTGTCCAGGCCAGGGCCAGCCCGACCTGGCTGCTGAGGCGCAGGGGTGTCCTCTGTCCGAGGTGCTGAGGAGCTGGAGCCAGGGTGGCAGCTGGAGCGGTGAAAGGACCCTGAATTTGGGTGTGCTGACTCGCGTGCTCAGCCGGGGCGCTGTGTGCCCAGGTGACAGGAGCAGTGTCTCAGGGACGTGCTCTGTAGGCAGGATGGCCCGAGAGGGCAGAGGGAGCTGCTGCATCCCCACCGTCCGCCTGGACACCCAGGAGCAGCGGGGTCAAGGCTGAAGAGTAGGGAGGGGCCTGGTGAACCCCCTCCAGGACAGCACGTTCCCTGAGGAAAACAGGTCTCCTCCCGCACGGTCCACTCCCCAGCCCCACCTGCCTCCGGGAGACCCGGACACTCTGTCCCTGTGAGCAGCGGCCCCCGGCGGGGGGGGGGGGTGCCATCCTCATCTGCCCCCGTGTCGCCTGCATGTCCAGCCTCCAGCCCAAGGCAGTTTCTGTTCCTGTGCCGGCCCTCGGTGCGGGTGGGGTTTCTCAGCCTTTGGACCCCGGCTCTGCCCTGGGCCCAGGACTCCGGGCTGTGTGTCCCCGTGCACCCTGACCCGGGCGTGGGCGCTCCTCCAGACCCCTGAGCCCGAGGGCCGCTTCCCGCGCAGGCGCTCCCTCTTCTGTCCCGGTGGCCCGAGCGCTGACTCTGCCCGCGCAGGCAGGAGGGGGATCTGCCACATCCCTGCCCTGCCCTCTGCCCACCCCGCAGCCAGAGCCACTGCCCGGGATACAGAGATGCTCCTGGGTGCTGCAGAGGTCCCCCCGCCAGGTGCCAGCTATACCCCACCCAGCAGGGGTCATCACCCCAAAGTCAGGTCTTCAGCGTGCCCAGGAGTGGGGTTGGGGGGCTGAGGACTGTCGCTGCGAGAGACTTGTACAGAGAATGAGATCACGTGGGGCTTTGGGAGGGGCTCGTCCTGCCCTTGGGGCTGCCAGCTTTGCCCCCGGCAGGAAGGGTACTCTGCACAGGCGCCCCCCTCCCTGGCTGTGACCCCGGCCCCGGCCCTGTCTCCGCAGTGGGCTACGGCTCCTGGTTCGAGCACGTGCAGGAGTTCTGGGAGCACCGGATGGACTCGAACGTGCTTTTCCTCAAGTACGAAGACATGCACCGGGTGAGCGTGCGTGCGGCTCGCTGGGCTCGGCGTCTGCACGGCCGCTGCTGACCATCTGGAGAGGGAGCTGGGGGGGGCACGGGGTCTGCTCACCCAGACCTTCCAGGCTCCCAGGCTTTCGGGGAGAAAGCAGAACTCGGGGGAGCTCTGGGTCACCTGGCCCACCGGTGCTGGGTCCTGCGGGCTCTGCCGGCTGCCCACCCTCGGCCCCGCCTTAGAGGTGCCCTCAGGCCTGTCTCCTGCCTCCAGCAGCCGCACTCACCACCTGCTGCCCCCGGTTGGGCACAGGCTGCTCCTCCCTCAGCTGCTGCCTGGCAGGGGCGGCTGTCCAGCTGCTGCCGGCCGCTGGCTCACCTGTGCGTCCGTTCAGGTGACGAGTGTCTCAGAGTGGGGAGCACGCGGCTGGCACAGTTGCCCGCCATGGCCCTGCCTGGGGGACGGGCCAGCGCCAAGGCAGAGATGCCGGTTGCCTGTCCTGCCAGGGGAGTCCAGCTAGTCTGTGGGGGCATTGGGAGTGGGGGTGGGGGGCGGGGCTTGGGACCCTGTGGGTAGGCAGGGCTGGTGTGGCATTGGACTTGATCCTGCAGATCTGCTGGGCCAGCGAGAGGGGGTGCAGGCTCGGGCACTGTTGGAGTTGCTTGGCCGGACTGTTTGAGGGGACTGTGGGCAGCCCATTGGGGTGCTGTGGGCAGGTGGCTGAGGGCCTCCAGCGCTCAGGGGAGAGGCCTGGTAGCGATTCAGAGGCTCAGGCTGTGGGCAGGAATGGTTTGGGGCTTCCAGCGGTCCCCCTCCTGGGGTCTGTGCCCCTCTTACCCCCACGCTGACGCAGGATGGGGGCTTGTGAATCTGGGGGCCTGGGTTTCCTTGCTGCAGGGGAGTGGGTGGGGTGCTCCATGCCAGGCCCACCTTCCTTGTGGGCTGGAGACGGTTCAGGTGACGAGTGTCTCAGAATGGGGGTGGGGGCGGGTGGCCCGCCTCAGCTGCACGGGGCGGTGGGCCTTCTGGGCCAGGGCGTCGGCCGATGGCCCCACCCCTCGAGGGCCTCTTGTGACAGCAGCCGAAGGGCCCGAGCTAAGCCCGCCCCGCACTGTGAGCCCAGGGTGCTGATCCCTGGATGCTGGCTCCCAGGGAGGCTGGCAGGTACAGAGGGCGTGCGGTGGACCCCAAGGGGACTCAGAGGGCAGCGTGGCAGAGCCAAGGGCGGTGGCGCGAGGAGGGCCAGTGTCTTTCCCATCTTTTGCCCTTTAAATACAGGCCCCTGGAGGCAGGGCTCCTCCTGTTCCTCTGGTCACATGCTACCCCCCGCTGCAGGCACTGAGCTGCCCTGTGTCGGGGGGGGGCACCCTGTTGGCACCTCTAATGGGAGTCAGGGCTGGAGTGGAGCCCCGAGTGCCCACCGAGGCGTCAGGGAGGAGCCCCTCCACCCGCCTGCCCCGAGCCTTTGTAGGTTTGGGGTGTTGCATCAAAGCTGTGCAGGGAAAGACGGAGGCAGCAGGAGGGTTGTGTGGGAGCAGGTGTGCGACCCCTGGCCCCCGCACTCACCCTCAGGCTGGGCCAGTGATGCTCCTGCGGTGGGTGAGGCGGGCGGCCTTGGGGCCTCCTGGGTCCCCAGGGCCATCCAGGGACCAGCGGCCCAGAAGGGCGATCGGCAGGGCTGGCGTGCTCCGGGCCCTCAGCTGTATCACACCCGGTGGCCGCTTCTGAGCCCCGGGGGCCCGGGTGTGAGTTCCAGATCTGAGCCTTGACAGCGGCTGCGGAGCTTCTGGGTTTTCCTTCCCGCCCAGGCTCCCCTGCTCCGGTGCAGCCCTGGCCGCGGCGGGCGAAGGACGCTCCCGTGGCAGCTGCGCTCTCCCTCTTGTCTTCCAGGACCTGGTGGCGATGGTGGAGCAGCTGGCCAGGTTCCTGGGGGTGTCCTGTGACAAGGCGCAGCTGGAGTCCCTGAGCGAGCACTGCCACCAGCTGGTGGACCAGTGCTGCAACGCCGAGGCCCTGCCCGTGGGCCGGGGTACGCGCCCGCCCGCCCTCCCGGCCCCTTGCCTCCCTGCCCCGGCCTCCTTCCCCCGGAGCCGCTGCCCCGCCGGTCAGAGGGCCCTGAGGCCCACTGGGGCCGGTGGCCGGGCTGTCTCCGACTTCCTGGGCAAGAGGTTCTCGGGGCCGGGCAGGGAAGAGGGAGGGGCGCGGGCTCTTTCGCTTCCCGCCGCTGGCCTCCCCGGCAACCAGCTGCGGCTGCCCTTCCTCCCGCTGCAGCCTGGGCGGAGAGCCGGCCCGCAGGAGCCGGCCGTCGAGGCCAGCGGCGGGAGGGCAGGAAAGGCCTGAGCCCCTCCGTTTTCCCTGCACGATGCCTTCCCGGACCCACAGCTGGCCCCGGGCAGCTGCGGTTTGGGGCCGAGATTTGGAGGCACAGCATGTTGGGGTGGAGTCCTCAGCCTCCCCCTGGCCTGTGGGAGAGTCCCCAGAGGTGCTGGCGGCCCAGATACGGAGCAGCCCGGCTGGGGCAGGCGTGAGCCCGAGGCGGCTCCCCCCGGGCGGCCCTCTAGCCTGGCAGCCGAGGGGCTTCTGGGTGGGAGCCCTTGGGGGTGGGGCAGACCCACCTGGGTTGTCCCCCGCCCCGTCTCGTGGTGTCGGAGAGCCTGGCCCTGGAATTCCCTGAGCAGCAGGCCCTGGGCCTCTCGGGTGAGGCGCGCCTGACCCCGGCTGCGGAGACCATGCCGGCCCCAGCTGTGAGCTTGGAGCTTCCGCAGGTGATGAGTGTTGGGGAGACAGGAAGGCTGAGGCCTGGCAGCTCGGTGCAGGGAGACTTCGAGGTGCCCGAAGGGCGGCTCCACCCCAGCCCTCTGCCCTCCGGGGCGGCAGCCCCCCAGCCGGGCCTGAGCCTCCCTCACCCTCCCTCTGGTGGGGGGCTTCCGCCGCCGGTACCTCGCTGGGCAGGGCCTCCCTGCCAGCAGCGCCAGCCTCTCCCCTGAGGAGACCCGAGCCCCGTCCCTCGTGCCTGATTTCCTGCTGCATCTTCACAAATATTTATCATTTGACATTTATTTGCTCTTTTTTAGTTTTACTTTTGCCGTTTTGTTGTCCTTGGCTGTGACCTCCAAACGACCCCTTTTGGTTCATTTGTATGGCACAGGAGCGTGAGGACCTGCCGCTGCCCGCGCCCCGCTGTCCGCTTCGCCATTGTCGACCTTGGTTTGGCTTCATTTCAGTTCTTTGGTTTTATTTCCGCTCAGCGCATCTCTCTGCTCCTCAGGCCCTGGCCTGGAGGCAGGGCCGCTTAGCCCCCCGCCCCCCAGCACACACCTCCCGCCCCGAGTCAGACCTCAGCTGGGGGGGGAGGTCCCGCCTGCGGCCTCAGCTGAGCGCAGTAATCGTGGGCAAGCTGCCGGCGGTGCGGCGGGTCCAGAAGCTTCCAGTGTGGGCCCTCGGGTGTCAGAGGTCGTAAGACCAGGTTTCCTTATCTTTTTCCTCAGCACCGACATAGATTTCTCATCACCGAGTAGAAAGGCCCAGCGTGTGGGGGGTCTCCCCGCAGGGGTCAGTGCCCCTGGGCCGCCGGGGGCTGCTGTGGTGGGGCTGGTGGGCTCTGCTCTCAGAGCTGCTGGCTGGAAAGACTCTGAGGGGCCTCCGAGGTGGCGCCTTCACAGCTGAGGGGCCGCAGTAACGCCCGGCGAGGCCGGAGGCAGGGGTCAGAGTCCAGCCTCCCCACAGCCCCGGGGTCACTGTCGCTCTTTGGCCAGACCCACGGAAGGCCTCGAGGTTCACAAGGAGAGTGGCGCTCCGCTGCGGGGGCCCCGGGAGCTGCGTCCCTGCTTCCTTTCAGCCTCATCATGAAGGAGCCGGCCATGATCCCGCAGGCTCCGCCGGCCCCTCTGCCTCTGCCCTGAGGGCCGCCTTGCCCCTGAGCCCCCGACAGGCTCGAGACTGGCTCACACAGCCCTGCCTCGTTCCCTCCGTGTCCCCCCAAGGTGAGGGGCGGGCAGGCGCTGGACCTCTGTGCCCGCGGCCCTGTTGGCGGCATCCTGCTCTCCAGGAAACCCATTTCTGCCTTTTTGAATGGTTTTTTTTTCCCTTGCAAAATCTCCAGAAGCAAGCGCCGCCTTGGTGGAGCTGCTGAGCTGTGAGCGAGGAGTGGGGGCCCGGAGGCCCGGAGTCCAGCCTGTGGCTCAGCCCCAGACCTCCGTCCTCCGGGTGTGGGCCCCCCGTGGGGAGCCCTGGGCCGGCTCTGCAGCGCCCAGGGGTGCCGCCCTCCTGGGGCCTCGGCTCCCCGAGCGGGCAGAGAACACCCGGACGACTGGACCCGGGCAGGAGGGCCCCCTGGGGCCTAGTCCCGGGGCCTGCCCAGCCCCGCAGGCCAGCTCAGAGGGACCAGGAACAGGGCCCGAGGCCCCCTGTGGCCTGACGAATCCAGCGAATCCGCCTGTTTGTGTTGCAGGGAGAGTGGGGCTGTGGAAGGACATCTTCACCGTGTCCATGAACGAGAAGTTCGACCTGGTGTACAAGCAGAAGATGGGGAAGTGCGACCTGACCTTCGACTTCTACTTGTAGTGGCCGCCGCGCACCCTGCATGCTCACGCCCACACCGCTCGCCGCTGCAAGTCCCCCGCGCTCACTGTCACTTGCGGGCCCCGGGAGGGGGGCAGCCGAGGAAGAGGAGGGCCCCCGCCCGAGCGGCCCCGGCCCGCGGCTTTGCGCCTCCACGTGTCCGCTGGGAAGCATGAGGCGCCGTGGCGGCCTGTCCCGCGTCAGGTCTGCGCAGGCCCCGGGCCGCCTGCCTGTCCCAGCCCCACCGTATTTACTGTATTTTATAGAGCTTTTCACTGGAAACTCAATAAATGTCGGTCAACCCAACACGTTCATTTCCCGGGGCCGCAGGAGCGAGCCACGCCCGGGCGGCAGGCGGATCTCAGGGTGGACACTTGCTTTTTGTCGTTGGCTTCTGCAGGGCACAGGCCCTCGGCTCTCCCTGGGTTCTGGGACGAGGGGCGAAGGGTGAGTCGGGGTCCAGGGGGGATACCTGTTCACACGATGGAGCTCGGCTCTTTGTAACCTTCCTGAAATAAAGCAGAAGCTGTTTACCAGGGCGTTTCCAGAAAGGGTGTCCCTTCGCGAGAGACCTCCGCGGGTGGCCGTGACAGCTGGACACGGGGTATCGGGGTGGACACCCGCCCGCACGGCCAGCAGCGGAGCGGAGCATGGGGGGTCTGCCAGCTCCCGCGGCCCGTTCCTCTAGCGGAGGCTCACGGGCCACAGGGGCCCTGCGGGGGGTTTCTAAGCCCGGGGGTGGTGTTTGCTGTCCTCCGGGGCGCCCCCCTCGGATAGCCCCTGCCGTGAGCATGAGGCCCCTGGCATTCAGGCCCAGGCCTTGGCATGTCTGAGGGAGGAGAGGCATCCCCTTTACTGCTCCCCCCTGCACCCTCCCTCCTGCTTCATTTCCTGGCCCAGATTCTGCAGAAGGGGTGGGGCAGGCAGCAGTGGTGGCCCCCAGTCGTGTGCCTCCCAGAGGGATGGGTCGTCTGGGCCGCTCAGACGGCTGGGAAGTGCGGAGTGGGGGGTCTCTGGCCCCTGGGCCTGGGTTGTGCTTCATCTCTGGAGAGCTGCTGGATTGGGGGGCTGGCCTTGCCTGCGGGCGTGGCGCGTGTGAGGGAGGCTGCTTTGAGGGGTGCCTGTTCTGTCTTAGCTTGGGGGGGGGGTCTGCTCAGCATCACGCGGTGCCGGCAGTTGCTTTCATGTGTAATAAAGACGCATCCCAGGCTGTGTCCAGTGTGTGCAGAGGGCTGGGTCCCAGGTCTACACGTTTGTGGGCGGTGTAGACACCCTCCTGGCCCCCTGCAGGGGACTCACCCCCATGCAGACATCCCAAGGGCTGAGTTCCTCTCATTTCTTGTCCCCTTTGCTATGGTTTTGGGCCGAAATGGAAGAGCAAGGGAAGGGAGAGAAGCCCGGGGAGACTCGGTGCCCCCAGCACCCCGGTGTCTGCCTTCAGCCCCCTCTCCCCCACGTGGGTGCCTCGGTGAGGTGGGCTGACCTGGCCATTTGAACTCCAAGTCCAGCTTCCCATTTCCCGTGGAAGGAAGGTCCAGAAGGTGGTCTGGCCAGCACGACTGGGCCTCCTGGACAGTGTGGCAGCAGAACTACAGAAGGCACAGGGCTGGTTCCCTGTGGATGCCAGCAGATGGGCAAAGGAGAGGGCCGGAGCCCTCAGTGGCTTTTTCAGGCTTTTCATGGTCTTTCGACGCCACGGGTGGTGCGGCAGCCAGGCGCTGGGCAGGCGGGGGGCCCGGGGCCGGCAGGCCCCCCAGCCTGGTGCGTCTCGGCTCTCCGGCGTTCTCCCACGGGCCCTCCGCCGCACACCGTCCTCCGTGACGCCGCCCTTACAGGCGCTGCCTCCAGGCTCAGGTGCCCCCACTCACGGCGCCCACACCTTGCTCCAGGTGTCCACCATCAGGCACGTGAGCCCCGTGCCCACGCCCCCAAGAGCCTCCTGCATTCAAGGCCGCAGGGGAGAGCCACAGAGGCCAGCGGCGCAAAAGCCTGAGCGTCTTCCTTTACCCCACAGTCACCTTTCTTCTCATGCGGGCGGTTCCTCAGGAGAAATCCTAAAATTTATTTGGGCACCCGGAGTCCCCCCGGATCCCAGAGTAGCTAGTGGACTGTCCAGTCTGCTCTTTCCCAGCGGGCCTGCCCCAAATCATCCATAAACCACCAGCACTGAGGGGGCAAAGGCCGGCCCAGCACAGGGCGTGACCCACTGCTCGGTGGAAAGGCCGCCTCCAGCCCCGCTTGATGGAGTTTGCGCCTCGCTCAATGGTCTCACTTGCTCAGCGCAGTCGGCACTTGAGGGTGTGAGGCTGCCCCAGGCTGGGAAGCGGAGCTCAGCTTTGGGGGTCTGCGGTCAGGAGCCCTCACGGGACCCCTACAGCTCCTGAGCTTGGATTTCATAGGAAGACATTGGAAGCCCACCTGGTTGCATCTCAGCTCTGTGCTGTGTGGGTAACGACGGCCCCCGCCACGTTGTGGGGGGAAGAGTTGGGGTGAATGAGAGCATCTCCAGGGTTCCGGTGCCTGTACCCCACTCCAGGCGTCCGTGGGCAGCGTGCTGCCCTCACTGCGGCCCGCGGGGCATGCGTGTAACTAAAAGGAGGGACTCACGGCGGGGAGGGGCTCTCAGGCCACAGTAAGCCAGCTTGGGGCTGGCGCGGCTGAGAGGGTTTTTGGGTGGGGGGACTGCATCAGGACGAGGCTGGGGTTTGAGTAGGGCCCTGAGTGTGCGGGCCGCAGTGGGAGAGCCCCAAGCGCAAACAGCACCCCAGTCCCCGCCTCTGTCCTCCAGGGCCGGTGCATTAGCCTGACCTTGGCTGCTCAGATTCCACAAAGTATTTTGGGGACCACCTAGGGTTTCCTCCCAAACACTAGTGGTCAGCTACAGCTCCGCTGGGGGCAGACAGCCCTCCCTCTCTGCCTCTGTGCCTTGGGGACCTGGCCCCTCATTTTCCCTTCATACACCAGGATCTTCATCTGAGAGGGAGCCAGGAAGGGCCCTCCCACCTGGGCAGGTGGTCACAGTGGACGCGGTGCCCGCGTCACTGGTGGCACAAGAGTGAAGTGGCTTCAATCCTGTCTGCACGCGGCAAGTGGACACAGCGCCCCCTAGTGGCCACGATGCACTCACCAGTGGGTCCCAGTCCACAGCAGAGGTCAGCTGGGGGGCCCTCGGGGTTCTGCAGCACCCAGGAGAGGCCGGGAGGTCCAAGTGTGGGGCAGTGTGACTGCCTTTCTGGGAGCAGAATGGCAGCTGCTACCAGCTGCTCCTGGTAATGGGTAGGGGAATCCTTGGGTGACTGTTCCCTCGACTCCACACAGCCCTACCCATGTGATATCACTGTCCACTCTTCATCGTAGAAGGAGCATTTAAGACCAGGAGGCACGTCAGTCACATGGCCAGCCTGACTGAGTGGTCTCCCTCTGCTCCACTCCCGTGCCCCTCGGCCTGTCCCCCTGCCTGAACCCCATTCCCAGCCTGAGCCTGGATCACTCCGCTGTAGGCTCTGAATTCACAGTCTAAGGACCCGCCAGTGTCTCTCTCTCCCTGACTTTCGCCGCTGCCAGGGGGTGGGGGTGGGAGTGGGGTGGGGGCCACCACTGCACCTTTCAGCACCCCCCAGGGCCAGCAAGCATCTGCTGTTGAGGTTAGGGCCAGGCCCCAGTCCCTGTCCTTGGTGTCAGCTCCTCAGACAGCCACGGGGTGTTGATGACTGGCATGGTCATGTCCACTGGATGCAGCCTCACCGGGCCATCTCCACAGCCTCAGACTCTGCAGCACGTGGGGCCTGCCTTGCCACACAGTCCTCTCTGGCCCTACCCCACTGCCCACTCCTCAGTCTGCACCCCCTCTCTCCTCTCCGCCAATGTTGCTGGGCCATTCTGCTCCCAGAGAGCCTTCCCCGCTCCTCCTGACTTTGTGATTTCATGCCCACCCCTGGCCTGGAGCTGCCCCAAACCACCTCTTCCAGGAGCCACGTAACTGATCTCTGCTCACTGGTGCTGCTGTTTGGGGGTGTCCAGGTGTAAGGTAAGGTAAGAAATATCAGGCTTTTCTGCTCTCCCGCCATTAGGGTTGATGATGGATCCCTGCGGTCCTGAATGATTCCTGAGGGCGGGCACCTGGAGTGGGGTGTGGGCGTGCGTAAGTGGATTCACCTGGGCTAAGGCTGCGCTTATAAGGGCGGTGTCACGGGGACGCCAGAACCATGAGAGCAGCAGAGAACAAGGCCAGCAGAGCAGGCCGCAGAGCCCAGGTAGAGTGAAGACTTGCTGGGGGCTGGGAGGCCTGCCAGCCTGCACCCCCCAGCACCCCTGCCTCCCGTGTACCTGGTAAATCCCAGTAAGAGCGTGAAAAGCCACTGAGGGCTCCAGGACTCCTCCTTCACCCCGTCTGCTCGGGTCATAGGGAAACCTGCCCTGTGTCATTCCCGCCATTACACCAGGCTTCCCTTTCTACCAAGGACGTAGGGCTGCTGACTGTCAGGGGTTGGCTCTGCAGTGGTGGAGATGAGCAGCCTTAGCCCACAGGAAGCGTGACTGGCGCTCCCCAGGACAGAAGCGCTCTGGGAGTTAGAACCCTGAGTTCCGAAGGAGTGATCACCCCCGTGGCAGCGTATGGACTGGTTTACCTTTGCCACAGAAGCATTTTGTCACTGCTGTCAAGCTGCCTTTCCCAAGCGCTCATCGCAGTCCCGAGCAGGTAAGTAGAGGCTGGGTTCCTCCGGCAAGCTGTCCCCAGGCAGTGCTTAGCCAGCTCCTTCCCTATCAGGTAATCAATAAGCACTCGTTACCTAACTAAACGCAAATTAAATGCTAAATAGCACTAATTGCCAGCTGTTGTAAGCTCCTGCTCCGAGTTAGTTGCTTGTGACTGTGGGGCTTGCTGGGGCCCAGGCGTGTGAGACATGAAATTGTTGTTTTCAAACTGCTTCTCTATTCCAGAGGGGGGCGGTCTCCGAACTAAGTGTTTGGAGGGCAGGATTCGTGAAAATTCGAAATACCAGCGTTCCACGCGATGGACTCCCAGTCGGGAGCTGTCCAGAGGGGAAGGAAACCCCACGAAGGACCACTCTCTCCATGCCCCCCCACCCGGAAAATGGCCAACTGGGCCTGCTCGTGAATGCTGATCAATTCTATGGAGAGCCAGTGTTCAAAATGCGCCATTTTGTTTCTGGCTGATTGCTCTAAAGCAAGCAGATGCTTCCCTGACAAGGTGAGTGTCTGAGAAAGCATCTATTTTAGTGAAGGAAAAATAACCACAATAGTTTTTGCAAGAGTTAATTCTACCCCATTTATTTTTGTTTTATTTTTCTCGCCCAAGGACAGCTCAGGAGTCGGGTCCCGCTTCAGGAGGCCATGAAGAGGACAGCGGGCAGGCATGTCGCCAGCAGCTTTCCCAGGGATGTTCTCACTTCCACTTAGATGCATTTTGTATCCACGTCACGTGTCTGTTCTTCCTTCCTTTATTAAGAGACAAGGCGGAAAGCAGCACTTAACTTCTCGGGGGTTAATCAGTTCCTGCTGTGTATTTCTCCACATGAGGGCATAACTTCCATTTATAACATCATTATTGATTACTGCGAAATAATTACAGGCTTGACCCTGTGGTCCGAGCTCCTAGGTGTACAGATTTGTGGTGAAAATATAAGTATAAGCAGAACCCGGACTGCGGGGGGATTATTGCCACGGAGCTTTCCCGAGCCTCAGATTTTTCTTGATTGGTGAATGGAGTTAGTTTTTTTTTTTTTAAACAACCTGAGTTAACTTTTGACATGAAAGTGAAAAATGTCCCCTGCAAGGGAAACACTTTGGAGTGAAGAGGCTCTTAAATTGAAAAGAATGACACGGCAAAGCCTCAAGGCAGACTAATCTAAGTCACCACTTAAATATGTGGGAAAGCCACTCTAGTGTTCAAAGCAATAAACAGGACTTGAGTTTCCCAACCCCCTGTGTGGGCCCAGGGACACACCCCCTGTGCGCAGCCAAGCCCCTTCGGTACTTTTTGGCCTCAGGATCCATTTACATGTGAACAAAGTAAGGAGGATCCCAAAGAGCTCGTTTCTATGGGTTCCACCTATCAATATTTACCATGTTAGGAAGTGAAACTCATGAAAAACATTAAATGTGTTTACTAATTCATCTAGAGAACAATGCATCCATTTATATTAACATGTTCAACGAAAGGTTATTTTACTTCGCCAACCCCCCAAAAAATAGTGAAAAGAGAAAACATTTTTGAAAACCTCTTTAATGTTCTTTACGATTCAACCAGGGTAAATGAGAGTCCTGGAGCCCTCGGTGGCTCTCAGGCTTTTACATGTAGTGCAGGTGCACAGGAGGAAGGGGTGAAGGGGGTGGGCAGGCGGGGGGACAGGCGGCCGGTAGGCCTCCAAGCCCCCTGCAAGTCTTCACTCTGGGCTTCTTTCTCCCCTTCTCTCTCACCTGCCTCTGCTTCTCTTGGAGAATTTCTCAATACCGCTGCCGTGGCCCACAGAAGTAAACAACAGAGCTTACAACATTGTACCAAGTGCAGGTGCCCCATCAGGCAGGGCAATCCTGATGGTGGGAGGGCAGGAAAGTCTGAGAACCATTTGCCCTACATCTGGCTTCGCAGAAGACAGCTGGATTCTGCCCACTTCCTCTGCATTCAATCTGTTGCAGGATCACACACCATCCAGCTTCTGGAAACGCCTTCTGTACACGCATGAGAAAATCAGAGCAAAAAGGTGAGAATTGACAATGTTATGATGAAAATAGTTCTGACCACTCTCTGAAAGGGCCCCGGACCATTGGGGTTCCCGGACCACACTTTGAGAACTGCTGAGCAGAGCAATGCTCTCTTCGGGAGGACAAACCGGGACAGGCTGTGGGGCACACAAGGAGGGCCTGGCCTGGGTGAAGACTGACCCCCATCTGGAATGAGTGACAGTAGAGAGTGGGTGCAGAGATGCGTGAGACACGATGGGCGTCCATCTGTGTGGATTCTGGTTTCGCCATCATTTCCTTGCGAACAGGAAAATAATCCCCCATTTGAAAAGTTACCCTCCCTGTAACATAAGGGTAAAAGGCATCCTTATCAGGCGAGAACGTGAATCTAGAGCTGAAAAGGCTTGTAGAGAAACAGACTGCTGCTTGTTACCAGGCTCTGGGCCTGCGCACACACCGCCGGAGCCGGGGAGGCCTCCTGCCTAGTGCAGCGGGCGCGCGAGCGAAGCCATCTGCAGAGATGTGAAGTAGATGAAGCGACTATGCAAAATCTGCTGCCTGCAGGTGAAGTCAGTCATTTCAACACCCACTAAAGACCCAGGAGTCAGCTCCAACAGTGAGTGCCCCCTTCGCAGCTCCACAGCTGTTCCCGCGCCCGGCAGAGACCAAGCCCCGGCGCAGACCCTGCTGAGGCAGGCGCGCACGGCCTTTGGACAAAACATCAGAACCAGAAGGTTCCCCCACCCCAGAATGACTGTATTTTCAATGTCAATGACTCGCTGTCCCTACTTAAATTCAAAATTGTGTCTGTTGGAACAGCTCCCAGCCGGTCTGTTGGCGGCGCCCCAGACCTGAGTCTCTCTCCAGGTAACATGCCCGGTGCTTTCTTTTCAATGCTTCGTCTGAAAAGGATAGAAACGCAAAGTGCTCTGGCATCTCTCCAAGTTCCTTATCTGCACAGCGTCCTCCGGTCAGTCCTCCGGTCAGTCTGTCTCATGCCAGTTACTAAACCAGCCAAGGCCCCTGGGGAAAAGCAGACAGGTGCCCCCACGATCCCCGCCAGCGCTCTGGGCCCCCCCGTGGGGGTGAGCAGGGGCTCCTCAGTGGGGCTCCTCACGTGAAGCAGGACCTTGGGGCGGGGTCCCCTGAGCCGTCCCTCCGCCCGCTGACGGGCACCGTGTTGGCCCCGGCCCTTGGGCAGGTGGGCTTTCCCTCCATGTCAGGCCGCGGGACACTGAAATGGACTTGGGGACCGGGCGATGTGACTGCGTCACTGATGCTGTCATTGGTGCCGGACTTAAATAATTCAGGGGTCCTGCCTCGGGGGTCCTGCCTCAGGGGGTCCTGCCTCGGGGGTCCTGCCTCAGGGGGTCCTGCCTTGGGGGTTCTGCCTCGGGGGTCCTGCCTCGAGGGTCCTGCATCAGGGGGTCCTGCCTCGGGGGTCCTGCCTCGGGGGTCCTGCCTCGGGGGTTCTGCCTCGGGGGTCCTGCCTCAGGGGGTCCTGCCTCGGGGGTCCTGCCTCGGGGGTTCTGCCTCGGGGGTCCTGCATCAGGGGGTCCTGCCTCGGGGGTCCTGCCTCGGGGGTTCTGCCTCGGGGGTCCTGCATCAGGGGGTCCTGCCTCGGGGGTCCTGCCTCGGGGGTTCTGCCTCAGGGGGTCCTGCCTCGGGGGTCCTGCCTCGGGGGTCCTGCCTCGGGGGTCCTGCCTCGGGGGTTCTGCATCAGGGGGTCCTGCCTCGGGGGTTCTGCCTCAGGGGGTTCTGCCTCGGAGGTTCTGCCTCGGGGGTTCTGCCTCGGGGGTTCTGCCTCGGGGGGTTCTGCCTCGGGGGTCCTGCCTCGGGGGTCCTGCCTCGGGGGTCCTGCCTCAGGGGGTCCTGCCTCGGGGGGTCCTGCCTCGGGGGGTCCTGCCTCGGGGGGTCCTGCCTCGGGGGGTTCTGCCTCGGGGGGTTCTGCCTCGGGGGGTTCTGCCTCGGGGGTTCTGCCTCGGGTGCGGCTGCAGCGAGCGGGCGGCGCCGTCACGGGGTCTCCCGCGGAGCCAGGAGCTTCAGCCAGGGCTTTGGCTGCCGGCCTCCAATGCCCCACCCGGACCCCCCGGGTCGCCGCCCAGGGTCCGAGCAGCTGCCCCAGCCTAGGCCTCGCGGAGCTCCGGCGGGACCCCACGTCACAGACGCCGCGGCAGGACGCCCGGGCCGGTTCTGAGGCAGCCCCGCGCCCCGACAGCCCCTCCGGCGGAAGCGGCCCCCGCGGGGGCGGAGCTCCGGGCAGGCCTGGCCACGCCCTTCCGCTCGTCAAGCCCGCCATGTCCCGCAGTTGGCCAATCGAAGCTCGGCTTCTTGCTGGGTGCCGAGACGGTTTGCCCAATCAGCGCGCTTCCTCGTCGCTCGGCAACAGCGTCCTCGAGACGCGGCGTGGGCGGACTCCTGGGGCTAAGCGGCCTGGGTCCGCGCGCGGCTGGGGCCCCGCGGGTAAGGCGGCACCGTCTGGGCGCCTGGGCCGCGCATCTGCTCGCTTCGGGCGCGCGCGAGCCCAGGGGCGGAGGAGGAGGGCCCAGGTGGGCGGGCAGCCCCGAGGGCCCCACAGCCCCGCGACGGGCGCCTCCCCGACCCCGCGACACCGGGTGGCCCCTTGTCACCCCGCACAGGGCGGGCGGCTCGTCTACACTTCTGACACGTGCGTGTGGCCGCCTGGCCGTGCCGGCTCCGGGGCTACTGCCCTGGGCCCGCGAGCTGCCGTGGCATTTGGGAGGACAGGCTAGAAACAGGTAGCAGGTCCCCTCAGGAACCCCTGGATCCTGAGGTCACGGGGGCCGTGTGTGGCAACGCCTCCCGTCCCTCCAGTTTACAAAACACCGTTTTCAGTGGCCCCCACAGCAATCTTTTGAATATTACTTAGTAGATGAAGACCTGAAGTGAAGCCTATGGGGTGATGGCGACTGACCGAAATCACGCAGTGAGGAAAATGCAGAGCCAGAGCAGACACTCAGCACTGATGTCTCATGTCAAGATCTCGAGTCTTTCTAGAACATTCGTCTTCCTCAGCCTTTGTTTCGCCAGGCCTGCCGCCCACAGAAACGGTGTTGGGAAGCACTTTGAGAAATGTCCTTTTGCACAGAGCTGACTTACACCGCGGCTCAAATCACCCCATAGGGTGCCTTGACCCTGCAGAGAGAACTCTCGCTTCACTTCTGAGGAGACTAATAATGTTTTACTAGTGGTACACCCTCCAGCGGCCCCCAAAGAGCGGACTTACAGAAATGCTGTGGAAAAACAAAACAAAATTGGACTTGAACATACTATAGTCCCTTCATCTGGCTTTGAGCCTGGCTAAGTTCTGAGATTCGAAAGTGTATCATCGTCCTCTCGATTATCTGTGAATATATTGCCGCCCCCTCTGCCTGACTGCAGAGCATATGGAGGCAAGGGCCTTGTTTGGTTACCTGTGTGTTCGTTTCCTTCTGTTTTCCCTTTATGCTTGACCTGTTGTAGGTGCTTGTAGATAATTGTCAAAATGCTTGCCTGAGACCTTACATTTGCTCTCTTGTCTGCCTTCTGTTTGCAGCTGTCCACCTCTTCCTCATGCACAGTGACCTCCACAGCGCCTGTGCTGTGGCTCCTGCAGCCAACTGGTCCGTGGAGACAGAGCCAGCGGCAGGAGGATGTCCAGCCTGGTGTCTGCCCACAGCGGGGCTCTGCCGGGAGGCCGCTGGCTTTTAACAAGGCAGTTGCTTTAATTACACTTTGGGCAGGTGTGTATTGAGAGTGCTGTTCAAAGTGAATAGTGCAGAGAGCCCTTGAAGGTTTTCTTGGATGGCTCCTTCCCCTGCCAGGATTGATGCGTGAGAGGAGAGGAGCTGCTGTGAGCGAGACGAGCAAACAATTGCTTGCTTGCTTTCCGTGCTGCGGGTGAGCCGGCGTTTTTATCAAGTATGTCACCTAAAAATACCCCAAATCGAGGTTTAGGCGATTATATAGATAGGTTGGGTAATATTTAAACATAAATTCACTCCCAGCACAAGGCCCGCTAGGCTGTCACCCGTTTGGCAGGGGCCCGTAAAGGGATGTTTTTGGTAAAGCTGACTAGAGACACCGCAGGGAGGAGAAACCCGGCCAGCACAAAGGAGCTCGTGTTTTCCCCTTCCTTTTTCCTGGCTTCCGTCTTTCACCCCTATTTTGTTTTGCTCCCTTTGTTTCAGGCCATTGTCATTTTCCTCTCCATCTACTTGTGTGCAGTTTTACTGCATGTCCTGCTGTCGCTCCTCCTGCTCCTGGCTGATGCTGACTGACTCGTGTTCTAGGCACAGTTTTGGGACTCACATGTTTTTGTTTAGTCCTCACTGTCTCCTTACAAAAAAGCGCAGTTACTACTCCTGCTTGATGGAGGGGGCAGCCGGGATTCACCAGGCGGTGAAGTGGTAGCGTGGGGTCCACTGCAGGGCTGCAGGCAGCAGAGCCTGAGCTCCCACATGTGGACACCACTCGGCTCACTCAGCTCTGAGGTGACCTGGGGAGCACAGTCGATCCTCACGTAATGTCCATAGTTTCTGGGAAACTACAGCGTGAAGTGAGGGATGCATAATGAAAGCAGGTCCCCGAATAACATCATTTTGTTTGAGGTAGGCCACTTTTTTTTCCCTCTTCAACGTCGTAACTAAATGACGTTGAAGAAAATGACATGGTGCCCAACATGCCACAGAACTGTGGACGGGGTGACCAGGAGGAGTGCAGGTAGGAGAGCCACGGAGGGTGCCGAGAGAGAGTTCAGATTGTCCACAAATGTTGATCAAGTCAGCTTGCAAATATCACTGTCCACTTCTTGGCCACTCCAGGAGAAAGAATAGCCTTGGAAATCCAGTTGACTTTGTCCAAGCAAAGAAGCACTTTAATTCCTGGGGAAAAAGCAAGCTTTTCTAATACCAGGGCCTAAAAGCCATTTCTCTGGGGCTTCATCACAGCGTGGGGGTGGGGAGGGTTCTTGATGACCCCTCAGTGGCAAAGATGTAGGCTAGTGACCGCCTGTGTAGGGAGAGAATATGGACCATTGCATTTGTATGGAATTATTGAAAGATTTGTGACCGGTAGTTTTCAGTGACACCTTCCGAGCCCCACGGGTGTTTATGAATGGTGTTGTCCCGCCCCTGGGTTGGTTCCTGTCATTTGTTTGCTTATTTCCTTTAATAGTTGTTTATTGAGGGCCTGCCACATGCCAGCCTGTGTGGCTTCGGGGACACCACAGTGGAGATCTGTAGCCCTCCTGCCGCGGGTGTCTAGGCCCTGTCACTTCCTCCTGCTTTGGCCTCCTCTGTTGTCCCATAAAACCTGAGCCTGCCTCATGCCTTGTACTGTGAGCACCTACCTGCCTCTGCCCCCTGCCCTCTGATTCATCTTTTTTTTTTTTAAAAAAAAAAAGTATTTATTTATAGAAGCACTGGGTACAGTCAGAAGCGTGGGAGGGTGAGAGGATTCACCAGAGCCAGAGTGAGTAGCAGAACAGGCAGACTGAGGAAATACACTGCTGAGGGGAGCAGTGGGCACGGCAGGAGAGGTCTGCTTGACATGTGGCACCCCTGCCAGGTGGCTGGGGATTGAACCGGCGCTGCAGAGACTGCGGGCAGCTTCACAGCCCAGCGCTCAACTGCCGCGCCACCAGGGGAGGCCCTGATTCATCTTTTTGTAGATTCCTAGGACCGGAAAATAACAACAGCCACCAAGGAGTGGTCACAGCCTGATGTGGTGGGGCGCTTGGACACATTCCTGGTCCCCCTTCCACAACCGTCAGGGCCTTCCTTACCCACTTGGAGGCCACTTGCCCCTGGAGGAGCTGGTAAAAGCAATGCTTCCTGTCTGTTACAAAATCACCAAACACACACTTTTGCATTTAATCTCAGCAACTGTGAAGACCAGCAAACACCTGGTGGCCCTTCCCATTGGACCGGGCAGGAGTAGAGAGAGGCTGTTTCCCTTTGCAAATGAGGAAGTGGGGCAGGACAAGATGGTCTCACTCGCCAGTTGGCACCCTGGATGGTGGAGCAGTCTGACCCCATGTCTTCTTGACTCCAAGGCCGTTGCCTGAGTGTATACTGGGTCACGAAGGGCGCTTTATCACGTGTGTCCCCAAATAGAATAAAGCATCCATTTGATCTCAGAATAGATGAGGAGATTTTTCGCAAGTATTTGAATTTAAGTGCCAAAATCTTTCGTGCTGCTTGCAAGTTTTTCCACTTTAGTCAAGCGATATTTCCTGCCTAGAGATCGGTTCCAACCGTTTTTGCTTTCTGATGCCATTTCTATTCGACTGTGCACATTTCTTGCTCTTGTGTTATGTTTTCTGGATGCCAAGGCAGATGGATGGCACTTTTGTTATGATTCTGATATAAATAGCATCTGTTAAAACTGGACATCCGTACTTCTCTGGCAGATAAACAAATACGTCCGTGAAATAGCCTCCTAACTGTGTCTGGCCCGTGGCTGAGAAGCATGTTTCATGGTCTGTGGCTCGGTGCTTGGCTGGGGAGTACAGGTTTTGTAATCCTTGCTGATTTCTAAGGTTCCAAGTTCCAAAGTCATCATCTGCTGATGTCTTAGAATTCTCTTTATTTAGAAAACCTGAGCGGAGGGTGATATAAAGGCAAGGCTGACCCTCAGAACGTGCCACGGGACCTTACTTCAGACTCCAAACACTGTTTAGCTTTCAAATCCAATAGTAAAATTAGCCCAACCTCCTCGCCCTCGCAGTGTGCGATGCTGACAGCTGAGGTTCACCCAGAAGGAGGAGCGATGGCGCGCTCACCGGGCCCTGGTGGTGCAGCAGCCTCGGTAGCACAGACTCAAACTGGGAGGGAGTCACACTTTATCCTCCAGCCCCACAGAAGGTCTTGGGATGCCAAAGGTGCCTTTGACCTTCTCATCCTTTCTGTTATTCGATTAGCAAAACAAACTTAAGATCCAGTTCAGTTCATTTTGCTCAGGGAAGAGAGGGGTGAGAGGCAGGGCCTGGATCTTGAGAGAAGTGCGCCAAGTGGGAAAGGATGTGTGTGTGTGGTGGTTTGTGGTTGGGTGTGATTGTGGATTGTGTATGGTGTATGTATTGTGTGTGTGTGTGTGATTTGTGTGTAGGGTGTGACTGGTTTGTGATGTGTGGGGGATATGTGTACAGTGTGTGTGTGGTCTATTTATGGTACGTGTATGGTTGTGTGTGTGAGATGTGTATGTGGTGTGTGTACGTGTGATTGTGATTTGTGGTGTGTGTGTGGTTGTGGCATATGTGGGGTGCGTGTGAGTGAGGTCTGATTCTGGGAAGGGCAGAGCTGATGTGTGTCCACATCTGATTCCTACTGGAAAGGCAGACCCGGTCCCCTGGCCGTCCTCCAGTTCTGGCAAAGCCACCCGATGGGCCCGCAGGCCGAGCGCCTCCCTTCCTGTGGCCTGGCCAGCTCAGTAAGCCAGAAATCTGCCTGCCACCCGGCTAACCCCACTGTGCTCTTCCTTTTCAGAATTCACAAATTCAGAAAGTTTTTCTTGAAGGAAATGAAACTAAATAGCACAAAGGCAAATCATTGCGGTGGCAGAGTGAGCAGCACCAAGACCAGGTGAGCTGCCCGTGCCCGTCCGCCTGCGTCCCCAGCCCGCGTCCCCAAGCCTGGGCGTGGCAGAGGCAGCCAGCTGGCCAGGCTGTGCTCAGGTCTCCCCTGTCACTCGTGTCTGGTTGGTGGCTGTTGGTCATGCTTCAGGCGTGTCCTGTGCGCTGGTTTCTGTGGCCTCAGGGCTCCAGGGCCATCTGAGGTGTCGCAGAAGGCAGTCTCGGCCCCCACCGGTCAACTGAGCAGCCCCGTGTCCTGTGCACTGGCTTCTGTGGCCTCAGGGCTCCGGGGCCTTCTGAGGTGTCGCAGAAGGCAGCCTCGGCCCCCACAGGTCAACTGAGCAGCCCCAATCCGTGCTGGTGGGAACACGGTGTTAGACGGCACTCGCTACTCTGTTGCCGGCGTCCTGTTCCCACTGTAGGTGGCAGCAGTACCCACATTTTCCTCCTTGCAGCCCCAAAGGGAGCCACTGGGCTTCGCCAGCCTCCCAGCACCCTGGGGGCCTGGCTGCACCGTGAATAGGACCAGTGGATGCCCCGGTCTGCGCCTGCCCTGGGGCAGGGCTGAGTGGGTTCAGCCCTGGCCTTCTCCCAGGCTGCGAACCCAGCCCCTGGCGAGAGGGACCCACCTGGACGGTGGGCGCGGGGTGGTACCCCAGACCTGTGTGTGTCCTGGCCCCCGGTGGCTTGGTCTGTCATCACGTCAGTGTGCGGTGGAGTCTAGCTGGGGCTAGATTCTGACTTTGACATGAGACATCCTGTCCCCGGGGAGAAGGCGCAGGACACAAGCCTGCCAGCCTGTCGGGTCTGCGTTGGCGCTGCCGCTGTGGTCAGGCAGATGGGCGCACCCGCCCCCGTGACGGCCTGTGTTCTCACTTTTATCTCCATGTGTTCATAGTGTGCGCCCGCAGGACTCTGCCTGTCAGCGCGGGCCTGAGAGCTTTCATGTCCCGTGGATTCTTCTGTGCGTTGCGGCGCTGATGGGCGTGGTGCGCTCCTCTGTCGGAGGATGTGAACTGGAGAGTTTTGGGTCGTGTCCAGCCTGGTTTCTGAGTCTGCGTGGGTGCGGGTGTATCTCGAGCACTAGGCTGAACTGATGCTGCAGGAGAAGGGGTTTGTTGAGTGAGGTCTGGGGGGTGGCGTGAGACTGGCGTGGGCCCTGAGGAGGCGCTGTCAGGGACGCCAGCCGCGCCTCAGGCTTGGAGAGCCGTGCTCCCTTGGCCACGGGGCTTCTGCTAAGGTGAATTCAGATGACTGGCTAAATTGGTTTTTATGATACCCTGTCATTTGGAAAATATTTGTAAATCAGCTCATCCTTATCATCTGCACGTGGGGAGAGTGGACGAGGTTGCCAGTCAAGTCTGAGGTACTAAGGGGGTGGGAGGCTGGGATGGGGGAGGCGGGTCTGGGCTGCAGAGGGTGGCAGCGGCCCCAGAATCCTAGTATTTCATGAGATATCTCTGTAGACAACTTGCTTTTAATTTTCTATGTGATCTTTGGGCAGGTTGTGGAATTGCAGGCTATTTGATGAGGGCAGGTATCCACTGAGGAATAACAGGTTTCTCTTACCCTGTGCGAACCATCGTGTTCTTAGCGATGTGCAGGTGAGATAACTAGGGTGCGGGAGTCAAATCAAGCTCTTGACCCCATGAATCTATCTCTTTGCTCTCCAGTTTTTAATTTCTCCACCTTTAGAAAGGCCTGTGGTCTCTAGCTCACAAGGCCAGCAAAGCAGGGCTCAGCTGTTGCTGCCCGAGTCCAGGAGAACCACTTCACCGTGACGTTTGCTCGTCTTTCCGCTTCTTATGGGCGCCATCCAGGGGTCAGGGCACATGAGCCTCCTTGGGAAACTCACCACCCGATACAGATCAGCTTGCGGCTCCTGAGGGCGGAGGGGGCAGCCCGTGCGGGCCCTACCTGGCTTTGGACCCGAGGGTCTGGGTGGGGCTGAGGACCTGGAGTTCTGAAGGGGTCCCAGGTGGTGCAGATGTTGCTGGCTCAGGGCCCACATGTGGAAAACCGTGTTGACAGCTTGGGCTCTGCCTCGACATGGTTTCAAAATCAAACCTTTTAAAAATGGGAAATAAATGCATTTAAAAAGTTATAGTCTGAATAGCAATAAAAATCATGGCATTTCTGCTTGAGGTATCCGCTAATAGATGAGAGGCCCCCACTCTACCTTGAGATGAAGCGACAGATCGCTCGTCCACCAAGCCCCGTGCTGGAGTGATCTCCGTCACACACTCATCCGCTCTGGAAAGACGGGGTCACAGTCCCCACGCGCCCCGCCAGCCAGCGGGGCCGCGGCTGCCGTGGGGATTCCTCGTGCCTGGCCTTTTAAAACAAGCTGGCATTTTCTGTAACTCCTGAGTCAGGCGGAGAGCCTGCCCGAGGGGCCTGTCCTCCGCCTGCCTCTCCACCCCAGCCCGTGTGTGGCCGCCGGGTGTGCTGGAGGCGGGGCGGGACGCGCGCAGCCTCCGTGGCCAGACCCTTCAGGGGGGGCTCTCGGGCCTCTCCCGCCACATCTCACTGGGCTCCCCACTGGCTCTTACGATCCTGCAGGTGGTAGACATCAGAGGTGGAGAAGACCCAACAGGCCACCCAGACTGGCCTCCCCCGGGAGGGGGCTGTTCCCCGCAGCGTCCTCAGCAGCATTAGAAGGAATTACTTTTCGTATGATTATTATTTTTTAAATGCTGTCTTCAGCTAAGTGCTCCTCGAGCTGGACGGCTTTGTGTGCGGGGATAAAATGCACACCAGGCAGCGCGTCTCCGGCGATTATCTCACTCCTCAGGTGGTGCAGCGAGGCAGGAGGCCAAGGCCCCGGGATGCCTCGTTGTTATTAGGGAGGGAATTTATGGACAAAATAAAGAAGGCTGTTCTTTGCCTCAGCAATGCCCACAGCAAGAAAGGCACCCCCCTACACACACACACAGGGGACTCTCCGCTGGCAGAGACTTGCCATTGCCATGGCCTCGGGGAGTGTGTTAATGAGTTTGTAAAAAGCAGCAGGAAAGCCGTGGTCCCCTTGCCACTGTGAACCTTATACTCCCCCGGGCTCTGCTCTGGGCTTAGCACTTGTGCAGTCCTGGGGGGCAAATTGCCTGCCTGCAAAAGGGCGAGTGGTGAGAGGTGAGGCCCGGGGAGGCCGGCCCGGTGGGTTCCCGGAAATCCTGAGCACATTTCCCGGAAATCCTGGCTCAAAGTAATCCCCTCAGTAAGAGCTAATTGCATTAGAATAATCGCCCCGCTTTCTTCAAATTCTTCACCCGCTTGAGCTTGTCCGTTTCTTGTCTTGTCCAGTTGTTTCGGCCACACCACAAGGTCCCATCGCCCTTGGTGTGCCTTTCTGAGCGGCGTGCGCCCACCTCCTCCTTCCCTGCAGGCCCTGCTGTATCCCACTGGCTTTTAAAAACCCTGACCTGAATATCAGGTAACCCTCCGCCCACCCGCGCTGGTGAATGTGGCTGGACACAAACACCCCACCAGGGCCTGGCCTTCTGCCCTGTGCATGGGCCTCAGCTGGGCTCGTCACACGCCCGGGTGCCGTCCTCCCGCTCGCTCTCCCCCACTTGACCCCTCTGGACAGCCTTTCTGTTCCTCGCCCCCCTCCTTAGTCCGGAGACCACCCTCCCACCCCCTCATGCTGCGAAGAGCCGTGCAGGGCGCCTGCTGCCCGTGCCCTCTCCCCGCGTGCCCACTGTTCTGCGTCTCCTTTGTCACTGGGCGAGCCGTCCATCCCAGCTCCAAGCCTGAGGGGGGCCCTGTGGGGATCAACAAGTCCCCCCACTTCATGGTTCTCTGCCTCGCCCCACATCACATGTCAGTGTTCAAACGTGCCACTGATTCTCCGTCTTCAACTGCTCCCTTGACGCCCATCCCTCCCCCAGTTATCACCCCGCTTTTCTGCTTCATAGCAGGGCTCCTGGAGACAGTTGTCGCTATTTACTGTCACTCAGTCTTTGCCTGGAACTCACTCACGCAGCCGCCCCCCAGCCGCCCACTTGCACCAATGGGGCTCCTGCTGGGTCGTCCGTGGCTCCCGCGTGGCCTGATCTGAGCAGCAGTTGTGGGTCCTCATCTGCCTGGTTGTGGCCATAGCCGCGTGTAGGGTAAATAATTGTCAGGCTTTTCCGCCCTCCCGCCATGAGGATGGATGATGGACCCTGCGGCCCTGAATGCGTGCCTGATGGTGGCGCCTAGAGTGGGGCGTGGGCACGCGCAGGTGGGCGCACCTGGGCTGAGACTGGGCTTATAAAGAGGGCGTCACGGGGACGCCAGCAGAAGAGAGCAGAGCAGGGCGAGCGCGAGAGCAGAGCGAAAGAGAGAGAGAGAAGACTCGCTGGGCGCTGGCAGCCTGCCAGCCTCCCGGCCCCGCTGCCTGCCGTGTACCCGGTAAATCCCAATAAAAGCCTACAGAAGCCACCGAGGGCGCCAGGACTCTCTCCTTTGCCCGCCTGCTCGGGTCATAGAGATCCTGCTCTGGCCCTTCCTGCCGCTCCACCGTGCCACGGGCTGCCACCCGCCCTGGGGTCCCTCTTTCCATGCGCGAGGCCCCCCCACCCCCTGACCCCCCACCCCCACCCCCTGGCCGCTCTTCCCCCTCTCCTTCGCTTTTCCCTCCTCTGTCCTGAGCCGGACGTCGGCGTGCCCCACGCTGGGCCCTGGCACCTTTTCTTATTTTCAGCCTTTCCTGGTGGGCCGGTGTCACATGGTGCCTTCACACGCGCACGCTCCATGTGCTGACAGCCCCCAGCTACACTTCAGGCCCCGCGCTCCCCCGCCCGGATTCCTCCATCCAGGGCCTGTTGGGTGTCCCAGCCCCGTTGCTCCGGTGCCATCTCCGCCGGCGCCACTCCGGCCGCCTGCCTCCTGCCTGCCGGTCAGATCTGTGAGAAAACACGCCGGCCTCTTCCTTCAGAATCCGGCTGGATCTGATCACGCCTCAGCGTCTTCACCCGAGCCGACCCCGCCTGCTGCCTGCTTTGGCCTGAGACCGAATTGGCCTCCCTGTTTCCTCCCTCGCCCCCATAAGCCTATTGGGGGCCGGAGGGGGCCTTTAAATGCCAAGGCTGGCTGGCAACGCGCGCTGCCGCCTTCTCTGCGGGTGACGCCCGCTCGCCGCCTCTCCGTCCCCGTGCCAGCCCCGGCTCGGGGCTCCGGTTTCCCACACAGCCTCCTGTTGCCTTTTTGTCCTCGTCGCCTGCCTTAGACCTTTGCTCAGTGCCGCCTGCTCTCTGCCGCGTTTCTAGAACTTAGACACGCGCGATGGACTTACTTGACGGCTGGTCAGCTGATCTCCCAGAGGACCAGCTTTTGTTTTGTTGTTTTTTTCTATTTTTTTTCCAAATCAAATTTCATCTATTTCTGCTCTAATCTGTAGTATTTCCTTCACTCTGCTCACTTTGGACTTGTTGTGCTTTTTTTTTTCTCATTTCTTAGGGATGAAGTTTGGATTATTAATTTGGAGACTTTGCTTCTTTTGTATTCTTTTTTACATTGCGGTAACAAGAGTTTTCCTTTTAACATAGGCATTTACAGTGATGAATTTCCTTCTAAGTGGTACATTAGCCACCTCCCGTAAGTTGTGGTATGCTGTGCTTCTTTTTCATTTATCTAAAAGTATTTGCCAATTTTTCTTGTGATTTTTTTTTTCTTTGACTCTTTAGTTATTTGGGGGTGTGTTGTATAATTTTCACACATTTGTGAATAGCCCACTTTCTCTTATGTTTTCTAATTTCGTCCAAGTATGGTTGGGGAATATATTTTGATGGTTTCAATCTTTTTGAATTCATTGAGACTTGTTTTGTGTCCTTGCATGTGATCTGTCCAGGAGAATGTTCCACGGACGGCTGTGTATTCTGTTGCCAGGTGGAGTGTTCTGCAGGTGTCTATTAGGTCTAGTTGTTTTTTGGATTTTTGTTTTAGATTTTAGTTTTATTTATGCATACAAGAACTGGGGTGTAGGCCAGAGATGAGGGGGGTGAGAGGATTCACCAGAGACAGAGTGGGGAGCAGAACAGGCAGATCCTCTGAAGTACACTGCTGCGGGGAGCAGCGGGGAGTCAGGGGAGGTCTGCTGCGCCATGTGGGTAGCTCCCTGGCTGGGGATCAAACCACAGTGGCTGGTGATGGCTTGATAGCGCTGAGACTTTAACCCCTGTGCCATCAGGGAGGCCCCAGATCTGGTTGCTTTTTAGTGTTGTTCGATTCGTCTGTCTCCTTGTTCACTTTCTTCCCAGTTGTCCTATTCATTATTAAAAATATATCTTGAAGTCTGTCCACATTATTGTTGGTGTGTTTGTTTCTCATGTCATTATTTCATCAGTCTTTGCTCCGTGTATATCGAGGCTCTGTTTTTAGGTGCATTTATGTTTATTTTAATCTTCATTTATTCTTTTCTTTAATGCTCTTTATTTAGATATGAGTTTGATCTATATAATTTTTCTTTTTGCAAGAAGATTTGCTAATGACTTTTTTTTTCAGTTTTTGTTTGGGGAAATCTATTTGTCTTTAACTTTTGAAGGATGATTTTGCGAGATACAGAATTCTAGGTTGGTGAGTTTTTACCTTTGACACTTTGCATATTTGACCCCATTCCTATTTGGCTTGCATGGCTTCTGAAGATAAGTATGGGTGACATTTCTTTTCATGCCTCATAAATTTTTGGCTCAAAAGCAGACATTTTAAATAATACCATGTGGCAAAATCTTAAAAAATCATGCTCTCCCCCTTTCCGTATTTTGTTGTTTGTTAATGACTTATCTAAATTAACTAGAAAAAAATATATTTTTTGTCACGTATGGCCAATGAAGTCTCTGATTTGTCAGTTTAGGGGTCAGCTCACCAAAAGCCTGGAAACAAGAGTCTTATAATCTTTGCTCAGGGCTCTTTCTGGGTACTGGAGTGTTCCTTCAATATCTGCCAGGCAAGATGACACTCTTCCTTAGCCTTCACTTTCTGATGGTGCTGAGCTCGAAGGTCAGCCATAGGCGAACCCTGGGGGCCATCTTGGGTCTTTCCAGGGCGTGCACATAGCCCTGGACAGACTCATAGCCCTTTGCATGCAAGTGGTCCTCTAGCTGCCCAGTGGCATAGAAGCTTAACGGAGCCCCTTGGAATCTCAGTTCCAGATTTTCCTTTAAAACTTTTTGGCTCCCCCTATTATTTGCCCCATCTATTATGTACCTACCCCAGGTAGCTAAGATTCTAAACAACTGTTGCCTCTGATTTTTTTCAACAGTCTTTTGATGATACTTATTTACTGGGAAAGCTCTGGTCAGTTCAATTAAAGACAGCTTTATGTGTCGGGTCTTTCAGGGAACCACCAAATGGGTCAAACAATGAAAAATTTCTGGTGATGGGGCTTTAAAGGAGCCCCCTGATCTGTCCCTTCCAGACCTGTCTCAGGGCAGGCTACTGGGTTTTTGCTGTGACTACCCAGCTGTTGGTTTCTGGGCTCTACAGATCTGGGGGTGGGGAAGCTGGGACTAGGGAAGTTAAAATACCACGAAGCTTGTCCACACCAGGATTCCACCATCTTTCCTGAATAAATGCCCGCAAACTGCTGCAAGCCTTGGGTTTGGTTAACTTCCAAGGATCTGAAAAGTTGATCATGATGGTTTTGGCCAGTGTTCTCTGCTTTTACAGAGCAGAGGCATTTCAGAGGCCCTCGCTCCACCACTCTCGGTGCTGCCATCCTCGGCTCTGCCTCTGCCTTATTGCGCCTCCAGGGAGGCTCTTTAAGAGAGCTCAAGAGCCTGTACTTTCCACTGGGTGCCCACCAAAGACATGAGGCAGCGGTGGCCCAGATGCAGGTGGATTTTCCTGTCCAGAAGCTTCTGCTGGTTTCCATTTTTGAGGATTATTGGATCTGCTAATAAAAGTAACGATTTCATGTTCACTTTAAGAAAAGTCTGAAACATCGGCAAGAGGGTCACAAATAGCCCCATTTTTAATCTCTGGCTGTCTTCTCACAGGACTGTTCCTTCTCTGCTTGAAGATAATCTCATCTGTTTTCTTTTTCACCATAGGGATTTAATGTGCAAAACGGCGCTCACCCCGGACTGGCGTGCTTTGGATCCTCACACCCAGAAGTCTGCGTGTTTGAGACCCCATTCTTCACCGTGTCAGGTGCATTCAAGGAGTGGTTCTAACATGTCCAGACCTTGTTCTTCAAGTGAGTATTCCCGAGGAAGTGCTGGGAACGGGGAAGATCCCTCGGAATGTTTAGTGTCTGCCAGCCTCGGGACAAGACGCTACACGCCAGTCAGCGCACACGGGAAAGCTATGGGGAGACTCTGTTATTGTCCCCACTTTCCCTGTTGGGAGCCTGAGATGCAGGTTGACTGAACCATTTGCCCAAAAACTGCATAGTTTTTAAGTGGCAGGGCCAGCGTTTGAACCAGGGCAGTGTGATTCTAGAATCCGTGTGCTGAACAACTATGTTATCGAGCGTCCGTCCTTACTCAGGGTTTTCTTAATTGATAGACTTACTTGTTTTGAGTCGTTTTAGGGTTCCAGGAAAACTGAGCTAAAATGCAGAGTTCCCATACACCCCTTTGCTCCTAGCCTCATTTCCCCTGTTACCACATCTTGCATGGGTGAGTGCATTTGTTCCAGCCGATGGGCCACTGTTGGTGTGTCAGCTGCGGTCTTCGGTTCACATGAGCGCTCGCTCTGCATGTTGCGGGTTCTCTAGGTTTCGATTTACGTGTGATGCGTGTCCAGCTTGGCAGCACCGCGCGGAATAGTTTTACTGTCCTGAAAATCCCCTGTGCCCCACCTATTCAGCGCTCCCTCCCCCTAACCCTGGGCACACTGATCTTTGTTCTGTCTCCATACTTGCACCTTTTCCAGAATCTAATATAATTGAAATGGTCCATTATGCGTCCTTGTCAGACTCGCGTCTTCCGGTTAGGAGCATTCATTTGAGGCTCCTTCATGTCTTTCACAGTGTGATCGTCCATTGCTTCTTGTCTCTGAATAACGTTCTTTTGTGTGGCTGGACCGCAGTGGGTTTGTCTTTTTCACCGCCGGAGGACTTCAGTCGCCCCGCTGTCTTGGCGATGGGGAGTAAAGCTGCTGTGAACATTTGTGTGTAGGTTTTTGTGTGGACACAAGTTTTCCACTTGAGCCGCTCGCTCAGTTCTAAAGCAATGCAATTTGACATTATAATTTGCTCAAAGTGTGTGTCTTTTCCTTTGTCTCTTCCTCTGCCCCTCACTTCCTTCACACACATTTTCTGAGCTCTGCTGTGTGACAGGAGCTGTCATAGGAACCAAGAATAAAGAGGCTGATGGAGTGGAGGGCCTGCCCCGGAGCATCCCGCCCGCTAGAGAGGAGAGAAAGAGGCCGCAGGGAGAGGCGGTCCTGGCAGGGAGCACCCGAGGGCACCATGCAGGGCGGGGGTGCATCGGGGACGTGAGGGAGACACCGGGTTTGGTGGGGGGGACGTGGTGTTCTTGTCGGAGGGCGCGCTGGCACGCACTCAATTCGAATCAGCAAGTTGAGTTGCATGCTCATGCATCTGTGAGGAAGCCTGAGGGATACAGGCTTTATTTCTAGTAGCCACATGTTTACCCAAATCACAGGGTATCTGTTTATAAGGAAAAAGGGGGAGAATAATAGTTGGGACTTAACTTGCAATTTCCAACACAAACATTTATCACCCATAATAAAGTCTGTTCTGGTTCAGTAAGTCCGTGCCCACGACGCGTTGGCTGCGTCTTAGTTTGTGTGAGCAGCTCTCCGGCCGGGCAGAGAGGCTGGGTGAGGCAGACGTGCGGGCTTAAAGGTGTTCGCACTCCTGGGGAGCGCCTGCCTCTAGGAAGCCCGGTCCTGTCCATCCTCGCAAGGATTAGTGCAGCACATCTTATGTCTTGTTGATGTCTGGGCCGCAATAGTCTGTCGTGGCTTTAATTTGCCTTTCTTCACTAGTAGGTCCTCTTTGCTCCTCACGCTTATCAGGTTTATGTCTTTTTCTGTGCAAACTGTCTGTTCCCATCTTGTCCCCACTTAGCTAGGGTGGCTTGTAGGTGTTCTCAGTGTTAATTAATCCTTCATCTTGCTGCCGCCAGTGGTCTTTTCACTTGTCATTGGCCTTTTGACTTGATGGATGGTGTTTTTTAAAATATGCTGAATTATTTTTCTTTATTTAATGAAAAAACATATATATACATCTGTGTGGACGCTATATGACATATATTTAAAGATATAAATCATAAATATAAAGTATTTCCTAGCACCATTTTCCTCTCACAAGGTGGTCACCATTAAATGTTTGGCTGGTTTCTCTTCCATATGTACACATACACACACGCACACACACGCACAAGTACACACACATTTGTATAGATACTCATGCAAAGAAGTACAATTCATCCGGCAAATGTGAGCCACGGAATGGGAACCCCTGTTTCCTTGTTCAGTGCTGCTGCTTCTCGCGTCTGTGTCTGTCTGGATCATCTCTGCCGTCTGTCTGCGACTCTCGTCCCCTCTTCTGCCTTGCGCGGGCCGCCACGAAGCACTTCAGATGGGTCCTTCGCTCGTGATGTATTTCGTTTCCAGCTTTTTCATGTGCTCGAGGAAATAGTTTCTTCTCTGCTGAAACCCCATATGTTCAACGTGTTAGTCAATTTTTCCTTTAATCTCTTTGACATATTTACCAGCCTCTGTTTAAATACCTGATCATTTCTACATCTGTTCTCTCTGGGTCTTCTGATGACTGTTTTGCTCTTGCTTAGGTCACCTTTTCTTCTTTCATTTTGCCTTGCAGTTTTAAAAAGACCTGCTACTGGTCATGTTTGTGTAAAATCAACAGCACGGTAAGGATGGAAGTCAACAGTGTTCACCACAGGCGCCTGCACATCCTCTCCTCTCAGACTCCCAGCGAGCCTGGCCGCAGCGTCTGAGCAGAGCTGGGTCTGGCGCCGTTGTGGGGTCAGGGAGGCTGATGTTACAGGGTCCCTTCGTCAGGGCCTGAGAGCCAAGCCCCAGGAAGCCTGGGAAGCTCTGTCTCACAGCCCTGCTGCCCGCTTGGCGTCGGGTGGCTGTGGGGCGCGCTCCTTTGCAGCTGACTGCCAGATTTGGAGAGTCTTGGGAGCCCTCCTTGTTCTCCGGCTCAGACCACAGCTGTCTGCACCTCAAGAGGTGTCCCTCAGCCCTGCCGTCCTCCCTCCCATCTGCAGGGACCACTGAGCTGCCCTGTGAAGGCCCCAAGCTTCAGGGATTCACCTCAGCTCTTCCTCCTGGTGCTCAGCTTGGTGAGCAGCCCCCCAACACTTACCCAAGAGCCCGGTGCCTGGACAGCTCATGCACCCCCTACTTGGGTGTGCCCCCTACTCTCTGGTGCAGGCCCCACAGTGCAGCGCGGACCTGCCTTATGCCCAGGGCCCCCAGATGTGGCTCCCTCGCCGTGCGGCGCACCCCTCAGCCCTGTCTGGCCTGGCTTTGCTTCTCGTCCCTGGCTCCACAAGGCAGGCTTGTCTCTCGGCGGGCTGGCTTGTCCTTTCTGGAATTTAGTGTCTTCGCATCCTCAGTTCCCTCATGGGTTGTAAAAACACTATCTTTTTTAGCGTACCCTACTTGTTCTCATTATTAGGGCGAGAGTGACAGTCTGTTGTGACTTTCTATATCCTAAACGGATGTAGAAAATTTTGTCAAATTGCCCTCCAGAAAGACGCTCTCAATTTATACTCCCACGAGCGGGTTACAAGCGGGGTTACTGCTTTCGTTGAAATCTCAGATGTTGCAGGAGGCACGTGAAATGAAACGTTGTCCTTCAGGTCATTTCATAGCATCTCAAATCAATATTTTCAGATACTTTTAATTTAGAATTATGGATAGCAAGGATGGGGCTTCTTGGAAAGCCACTGAGAATATACATGTATTTGAAAAAGATTTCAAGATGGAGACATAAACCAACAAGAAAGGGCTCCTCTCTCTTGCTGGGGGCAGAAGGGGGGTTTTCTGCGGGCTGGGCAGGGGAGACGTTGCCCTCACTGGCCAGTGCTGGACCAGGCAGCTCCTCCCTGTGAATCAGCTGCGGCCGAGCCTTGAAGGCCAGTCGGCAGTGGAGAGGGAGTGGTGGAGCTTCCTCGGGATGAGCTTGGGATGCAGGGGTGTGCCTGGGGATTCCAGCATGGTCTCCGACCACCTTCTAGGTGGTCGCAGCTGTGGGGAAATCCCTACATGCCTGCTGGGTGGGTTCAGGTTGGCACTGGGAGCCTGTCATCTGGCCCAGGTCACCCCAAGACTAAAATGACTGTCTCTCTGTGGGAGATGCTCAATAGCTTGACGAGAAGGTCAAACGTGAAGGGAAATAACTAATCACTCTTCCCAAGCTCCTGCTGGTGAATATTTTGATAAAAAATGAGACCGTGGTAAAGACATTTACGTGATCCAGAATTTACCATATTAAGACAGAGCTGCTAAATAAAGATGGCCACCAAGCCTTTGCAATCTCATAAATCAATGTGAGAGATTTGCCAAACTTAGCCTCCTCTTCCCCTAGTGTTTCTAAGATACCAAAACATAACACTCCCGCCTTCAGGCCTGTGATACTGGTCGGCCCCTGAGTTGGTTTGAAGCTTCCATATTTACTTGTTCCTGCAGCTGTTTCATCTGAGACAGAGAGGAGGGAGGTCTGAGAGTGTCCGCTCTCCTGAGAAGGCAGGGGAGACCCTAGGACAGAAGCATTGCAGCACCCCCCGCCCCCGCAAGGTGTTTAGGCCACTTTACACAGCTTCCCGCCACCTTCAGAGCCTAGCGGATTCTCCCCTTCCTTGTCTTTGAAAGTGAAAAGATCAAGACTTGAGAGTGACATACTTTCCCCTCAAAAATTGGCAAGGGGGTGAAAAGCAAATATTGTGTTGGATTTATTTGAAATGATATGATTCCTTCTCTGAATTTTACTCGTCTCTGGTTGCTGCACACATGATGCACCGGGAGGTCGGCTCTGCCTGGTTCCTTCTTTTTAATGTCACCACTGTTATTTGATACCGGCCACGTCTCAGAGCTGGGAAAATGACTGCGCTTTGCCGTGGCGAGTCAGCTAGTGGTTAGACGTGTGGGAACCTACATAGAGAAATGCCGTTTTAGAAGTTTGTTTGATTCTAGTACACGGTGAAAAGGTTTTTAGTGTCTTTGCTTTAAGCACATTTAACAAATAGCTGTATCTCTTTTATAGACACAGCTGTTCCAAATCCAATACTGTCCTTCTTAGATGTTAAACGGATTTTATTTCAAAAAATTACCGACAAAGGGGATGAGTTGAAAAAAGCCTTTCAGCTGCTCGATACCGATCAGAGCATGACGGTGTCCAAGAGTGAACTCAGAAGAATTATCACAACCTTCCTGCTGCCTCTCACAAGAGAACAGTTCCAAGATGTACTGGCTCAGGTACAGTCTGTTGTAACCACTCAGAATAACTGACCGAGGACCGGAGGAAGTAGCTTACAGGCTCATATAACCTCTTCAGAACTCTCCCCCCGCTCTCCCCAGATGGTTCCCAGTCCACTCATTTAATTACTGGCAGATTTGGGACCGTCAGCACGTACTTGGGTCATATTCTGTGCGTGGCGCTGTTACACATTAGTATTTTGGCATCTGCTTTTGCATCAGATGGCTTTTGAGCACCTACTGCATGTTTGACCCAATACCAGGCACTGGAGTCCAGACATGGTCCACGCTAAGGGCTCCGGGTCCAGTGAGAGATCTCTGGAGGTGTGAACGGTGTTGGGACAGGGATATTGCAGGGTGGGGTGGGAGTTAAAGAATGGAGAGCTGTCTAAAATCCAGGGGTGGTAAACCCAGAAGACTTTTGGGAGGAGGGGGTATTTAAGCTTAGCTTTGACTCTGGTGGGGACCAGCCATAGGAAAGAAGCAGGAAAGGGGATTATAAGCAGAGAGATTAGTCCATGCGAGAGCGTGGATACCTAGGTTGCATGACAGATTTGCTCAGGGAGGTGGGTAGAGTTATTTACATCTGAAGTGATGGGTGTGTGTCAGGTGTGGCTAGGGGCCAATTCTGAAAAGTACCAAGAGGTAAGAGCTTGACTTATGTCCTAGAAGCTTCTGGGAGCCGGTGAGAGCTTTGCAGCAGGAGGTGACACAGAGAGGGGAATAAGAGGGCAGGCCCTGGGGCCTCCGGGGAGTGTGCTAGACTTGGGAGGTAAAAATAATAAAGATTTGGTGTTTCAGGGCCTTACAAAGGCATTACAATCAGCAGGAATGAAACACTCCCAAAATAAACCCACCCAAAATAAACCCACAGGGATCAATAAAGTGACACAAGAGTAAAAGTTGGGTGGGAACATGCCTCCAGCCTCACAGCCCAAAGCTGTTTGCATCCACCCCTGGTACAAACACGAATTGTTTTTTTACTACTTCATTAGTGTGTGATCAGAGTCTGACCAACTGCTGTGTCATAATATGTTGAAGCCTGTTACGTTTTAGAACTTGTTGAATATCCCAGCCCAATCCAGTTGGCTTATTTTTGGCATGGGAATTACGTGCTGGGAAAACGTGCACTGCAGGCGTCCCTGAGTCTGGTCTTAACCTCATGTCTGCTCCCTCCTGCCACTGATTTTTTTTTTTTTATTTTTAATATTTGCAGAAGTTTGTTGTTTCTTTTTGAACACACCATGGTACTGTTTTAAGGTTTTTCTCTAACTTTTGCTTTTGCTGAATTTGGGAAATTTACATTATTTCTTTAAATATTTTCTGTCCCATCCTTTCCTCTCTGAAACATTTTGGTTAATCCCACAGACCCCTGAGGCTCTGTTCATTCTTCAAAATCTTTTTTCCTCTCTCTGCTGATCTACCTTCAGGTTCACAGACTCTTTCTTAGCATCTCCATTCTGATATTAAGCCTGTTCAGTGAATTTTTAATTTTAGATGTTACATTTTTAGGTTCTAGAATTTCCATTTGGTTCTTTTAAAATAATTTATCTGCTTAGATTTCCCGTTTGTTTGTTTGTTTCATCAGTTTTGAGTGTGTTCCTTTTAACTCAATGAGCATACTTGAAATATTCCTGTGCAGTCTTTTTCTGATAATTCTGACATTGGGGTCATCTCATTGTTCACCGACTACAATGTTTTCCATTGAGAATGGGCGCATTTCCCTGAATCTCCATACTTGAGTAAATTTAGATAATATCTCTCACCAGTACTGTCCAATAGAAGGATAATGTGAACCACATATGTATTTTAAATTTTTTTGGTAACTCCAAAAAAAGAAATAGGTGAAATTAATTTTAATAACAATTTTTTATCAAATATTTCCAAAGTACAATCTCATTTCAACATGTATTCAACAATAAAAGTTGTAAGATATTTTATAATTTTATATTCTTTCCTATGTTCTGAGTCTTCAAAACCTGGCATGTACTTTATACCTCAGCAGACTTGAATTCAGACACTAAATTTCCATTGGAAATACTTGACCTGTAGAGTTCATAAAATTTACAGCTAGTTTTTAAAATACTAGATTCAGATACCCCATTGTTTCCAACATACTTGTTTCCCAACAACTGAATTATTTTTAAAATTTACATTTGCTAATGTTAAAGCAAACAAAAAAATCAGTTCATCGGTTACACTAGTCGCATTTTTAAAAAATTAATTTATTTATACAAGCCCTCAGTACAGTCAGAAGCGCAGGAAGGTGAGAGAATTCACCACAGCCAGAGTGGGGAGCAGAACAGGCAGACTGACAAAATACACTGTTGAGGGGAGCAGCGGGCGCGGCAAGAGAGGTCTGTGCGCCACGTGGGACACTCGCCGGCAGCTGGGGATAGAACCCATGCTGCAGAGGCTGCGGGCAGCTTTGCAACCCAGTGCTCAACTGCTGGACCACTGGGGAGGCCCTACAGTAGTCACATTTTAAGTTCTCAGTAGCCACGTGTGGTTATGGCTTTTTATTAGACAGTGCAGTGCTAAATATTGTGCAGGCTGTGCTGTGGAGACTCTGGATTCTGTTATAATCCTCTGAACGCTTTTGATACTTTTGCTTTGGCAGGCAATTAACTTGCAAACTGTCTCACTTGCAGTGGGCTGTTGCTTACAATGCAGTTCAGCACTTTTATTTCTAGGTTGGTGTCTTGGAGTCTGACCTGCAGTTGGATGGTTTTGGCATTAGCTGGAAATGTGGACGGAGTGTATATACAGAAAGTGGGGCCTTGCTTCTCTCTCTCCTATTTGAGATTCTGCTCACATTTTAAAAAAAGATTTATTTATTAATGCATGCAAGAACTGGGGTACAGGCCAGAGGTGCGGGGGGTGGTATGGTGAGAGGAGTCACCAGAGACAGAGTGGGGAGCAGAACAGGCAGACTGATTGAAATACACTGCTGAGGGGAGCAGCAGGGAGACAGGAGAGGTCTGCTGCGCCCTGTGGGTACCCTGGTGGCGCAGGGGGTTAAGACACTACCTGTGAAGCTGTCCTCAGCCTCTGCTCACATTTTCAGTAGCTTTATCATTTAAAAAAATTACAAAACTACAGAAAAGTTGAAAGTGTAGTGCAAAGAACAGTTTTCCCTCTAGCCCACATCCCTCTCTGGACTATCTAGCCTCCCCCAGCAGCACTAGGAGACAGCCCTAGTCCTCTAGGACTGAATTGTTAGGAAAGGGACAGGAAAGAAAGGAAGAGGAGATAAAGAGGAAGAGTTAAAAATTTTTTCCCCTTGGGCCTCCCCGGTGGCATGGCAGTTGAGCGCTGGGTTGTAAGGCTGCCCGCAGCCTCTGCAGCGCCGATTCAATCCCCGGCCGCTGGGCGAGGGTCCCACATGGCGCGCAGACCTCTCCTGCCGCCCGCTGCTCCCCTCAGCAGTGTACTTCGGTCCTTCTGCTTGTTCTGCTCCCCGCTCTGGCTCTGGTGAATTCTCTCACCCTCCCGCGCTTCCGACTGTACCCAGTGCTTATATAAATAAATAAATAAATCTAAAAAAAAAATTTTTTTTCCCCTTCATTCACTTCCAAAATTTTACAAATAGTGGATAATGATTCTTCCATGTGTCACCCTTTTTGTCATTCACATTTTTAGTAAAAACCTAATTAAGATATACTTTACATGCCATAGAATCCACCATTTAAAAGTGTACAAATTAGTGGTTTTGAATATCTTCAGAGTTGTACAATCATCACCACTATCTGATTCCAGAACACCTTCATCACCCCTTAAACTTAAACATTTAGAGCTTTTCCAGGTTCATCCATGTTTCCAGGTCCACCCATCTTTAATGGCTGAATACTATTCCACGGTGAGGATAGACTACATTTTGTTTATAATCAGTTGATTGACCTTTGGGTTGTTTCTACTTTGTCACTTTTATGGACTGTGCTGCTGTGAAAATTCCCGTACAAGTTTTTGTGTGGACATCTGTTTTCATTTCTCTTGGTGCATACCTGGGGGCGGTATCTGTGTCTTCTGGCGGTGTTCTCTTGCTTTTAAAGAACATTTGTCCTTGCAAACATTGCATCCATTTCCTCAAAAACTCGATTTAATTGATACTTTATTTATACCAAATGGAGAGTTAAAATATTATTTCCTGCTAATATCTCTCTATATTCATGATCTAATGTTAATTTAAAATTTTGACAACCTTCCCAAGCTAATCAGCTATGCAGGAAGAAGAAAAGTACAGAAAATGTGAAATGTGTATCTGTTTTTAAAAAGCTACATCTGTTTTTAAAAGCAGTCACGGAGAACCGTGGAACTTCAAAGACTTCAAAAAAATAACCAAACGGGTCCAGGCCGCTTATCTTAAAAACAAATGTGTTTTTCTAGAATCTTGAGCTCCTGTCACCCGGTGTAAATCAAGGAGGCCTGAGTGCAGCGTACTTTCAGGAGGCCAAGTGCATTGGGTGTAAAAGGCGGGTCTTCTCTTCCCAAGCCCTGGAGTTCCTGCCTGCCTGAGCTTCTCTAGATCTTGTGATGGCGGATCCATGTGGCGATACCACCTTCTTTTTCTGTAGTTGTTGTAAACCTAACTGGAGACTTAGAAAGCTGGTCAGATGTCCATGAGAGTTCCCCCTTCAAATTAGACTTATCCGGCTGTAGTCTGAATTTACTTTCAACTTTATTTCACAAGCCAAGTCAAGAATGTTTAAGTGTCAGGATATCTGGATGACTGATCAGGACAAGAGTTGGGGAGAGGCCTTACCTGCCCCGACCTGTACCTGGTTTCCACTTCAGTGGAGTGAATTAAAGACAAGATGTGGCCTCAGACTGAATATTAATGTACTCTTTTAAAAAGAAATTGAGGGGCCTCCCCACTGGCGCTGCAGGTTGAGTGCCATGCTGTGGAGCTGTCTGCAGCCTCTGCAGTGCTGGTTTGATCCCCGCCGGCTGGAGAGAATCCCACATGGTGTGGCAGACCTCTCCTGTCGCGCCCACTGCTCCCTTTAGCAGTGTATTTCTGTCATCTGCCTGTTCTGCTCCCTGCTCTGTCTCTTGTGAATCCTGTTACCCTCCCGTGCCTTTGGCCTGTACCCCAGCTCTTGTATAAAAATAAATTTTAAAAAATCATTAAAATAATTAAATAAATAAAAAAATAAAAAGATGTTGAATGGGTAAACAGATCCCGGAGAAGGAAACAAGGTCCTGTTCTGGCCCCAGTGGCTGTGCCAGGTTGGGGGAAGAGAAGCCTAGAAAGATGCCAGCAGCCAAGTGCCGACTCAGTGACTGCCCGGCCCCAGCCCTGGCTTGAGGCTTTGCGTGCAGCGGCTCATCTGTGGACAGTTACGGTTCTCAGATGCTTTTGCCAGAGTCATAAATTCTGAAACGGCGAGCGTGAGCCTCTCCTCTCCCCTTCGGCTGGAGTTTTTGGCCGTCCAAGGGGCTCAGCTTTGGAGACCGGGCCTCGCCAGATGTCTCAGCCGCATCAGGGCGTGCGTTAGAGCGCACATGCCGTGAAGCAGGACAAAAGCCTCCTTTGATGGGCTCTTTGTGGCCAGGGCCGTGAGTGCCGCGACGCGGCCTGATGTGCTGGAGGTAGTGGACTCTGGCGCTGCAGGAAGGGGGCCCCTCTGCTCTGTGATGCCAGCGCCTTCTGAGGGTGACTGGGGGCTGGGGGAGTCGGCCCCCAAAAAGCCCGTGTCCATTTATGGAGCGTGAGCTCTGTGAGTGACTTCCCTTCCCCGTTCACTCTTGTCACTGTCAAAGCCAGGGCACATCGCTCTTGGCCCCCGCCACATGGCATTTGCTCCGGCCATTCTTCTGCAGGACTAGGGAGGCCTTCATGTCTTTACCCCAAACTGTCGTCTACTGAGAGAGGCCATGAGACGCCGCAGTCATGGCCGTCCTCGCGGAGAGGGCTTCCCGTGAGCCACCACGCCTCCGTCCCATTTCCGAGTCACACATATTTTAGCCGATAGAGAGGAATGTTGTCTTTGGGGAAGACCGAGATGGCCTCCCCGGCCCCGGCCTGGGCTTCTCAGGGCTGAGTAAACATCAAACTTGAGGTGTGGACTGGGGACTTTGTGTATTTGCATGAAACACAGTATGTTTATATAGATTAGCTATTTATTTTAACTTTAGTTCCAGAGTGCTTCTCTGGGGGGAAATACTTATTTTTATTAAAATGTTTAACTTTTGATTCAGAAATCATTTCAACCTCCAGAAAGCATACGATAGCACTCACAGCACCCATGCGCCCACCTGCCCTCACCCTGCCTTGCCTGCGGTGAACACTGCCTCGCCGCTGCCCCTCTGGCCTCTGGCCAGCTCTGGGCGCATGTTGCGGGCCTACGTGTGTCAGCGAGCTATTGATAGTTGCTCATTTTTTTCTGAAACTTTTGAGAGGAACTTGCTTACGTTGTGGCTCTTCCAAACACTTGAGTGTGCATTTCCTAAGTGTAAGAGCTAGTTTCTGACGTAATCACAGCGCAGCCAGCAGCTTCAGTAATTTAAACATCGATGTGATGCTTTTATTTAATGGACAATTTCTATTGACCCACTTGATCCTCTAATGTTCTATATAGAATTAGAATTTCAAAATGACTTTTTTCTATCTTAAAAGTAAATGTATGTACAGAAAGTCCACCTGACATTTCGAGTGTAGAACTGTGCTGGGGCTTCAGCCTCTTGGAGATACTTATCTACTTATATCTCTCTAGATATCTGTATGTATATTTTATAGCATAATATAACTATGTGAATATATTTCCTTATACCTGTTCATATATTTGTATTATGCCATAGAATATGTTTCTGTCTTTTTTTTAAAAGATTTTTTTTTTAAAGATTTATTTTATTTAGGCATCTAAGAGCTGGCGTGCAGGACAGAGGTGTGGGGGGTAAGGGGATTCACCAGAGGCAGAATGGGGAGCAGAACAGGCAGATCTACTGAAATACACTGCTGAGGGGAGCAGAGGGCAAGAAGAGAGGTCTGCTGCACCTTGTGGGTATCTCCCTGGTTGGGGATTGAACTCGTGCTATGATGGCTGCAGACAGCTTCATAGCGCTGAGACTTTACCCCTGCACTACCAGGGAGGCCCAGAACATGTTTCCATTTCTATCAGGATTTTTTTTTCCCAAATGTTAGAACATGTTTCTGCTAATTTTATTTCACTTTTAAGATATCTCAATTTCAGATAATTCTGTAGATAACGCATTGACCTTGAGCAGAGGCTAGCACCCTGGTGTTCATGTTGTTTGCACTTGGAATGCTGAGCACCCATGTCCACTAAGACCCTTGGAGGACGTAGCTGTAGGGGTTCACCATAGCACTGCCGACCCCGGAAGTGCCCCACCTTGTGTCACCAAAGACATTATCTCCAAGTCTCTTTGCTGCCGGCTGTACCGCCGTGTTCTCTGACAGACTCTCCTTCCTTTCTGAATGTAGATCCCCCTCACCAGATCTGGCACCATTCCGTACGTTGAATTCCTGTCCAGATTTGGTGGAATTGACCTAAATATGAATGTTATAAAGAGGTAAGTGTTTTGTCTGCTCATTGGCAAATGTGAAACCTGAAACGATTATGACCTAAGTTTCCTAGAGCTGATCATGTCAGCAGGTGTGTCTGGAGGACGTGCTGCTGGAGCTTGTCCATACAGAACTGAATGGAGTTAATGGGTAGTCGGACATTTGCTTAGAGAATATTCTAGCACGTATAGGCTGTGTTTCAGAAAGAGAAAAATAATACTCTGTTAAAAATGGAAATATAGCAAGTTAAAGCCAGATCAGCACATTTCATATGCAATGTATTTCAGACTTGAAAATGAATTTTAATTTTTGAAGTAAAAACATTAAGATCTTAAATTTAATATTTGAACATTTTTATACCTTTACTGTCTTTCTTTGGAAAGTATTTTGTGACGGGGTATGGGTATTAAATTAGACAAGACGAGGCTGCAGTCAGTGCTCAGCAATTCCACTCGCAGCGCTGGTCCCGCTGCCCTGGGAAGAGGCGGGGCTTCAATTTCACTTCACAGATGGGGAAAGTGAGGCAGGCAGGAGCTGAGTACCTGGCCCACGTTCATGCTTCTGGCAGATGCATAAGAAATACCTTCTATTTTAAATTATATAATTTGAAAATCCTTACAATTTTGATCTCCGCATGTCCTATGTCAACATTTACTAGGTTAAAACATTTTAACAGAAAATCTTCATTTTTATTTACAAGGGGAAGCGGGACTGAAAAGAACTGCTGTCGGACATTGAAAGAACTCGAAAGCCAAGTAGGAGAAAAGGTAAGAGAGACCTTCACCAGCTCTTTCCCTCTCCTCCTCCCTTTCATCAGAAGTCGCCACCGGCAGAGGTGGACGGTGCCAGCTGGCCCCTGTGTGTCCTCATGTCAAGGCAGCCCCATGATGTTGGCCTACAGGCTTGGGGGACGTGTCCTTGATGGGTGACACCCCTGCAGCTCTGGAAGGTTAATTGTGCTGTAATAACTTGGGATCATCCCGTGCAGGGCCCCTCTCTCTTGGTTTAAGGCTCAAGCAGGGCTTTCTTTAGGAAGAGACACCACCGCCCTCCATCAGCCAATGCTGGTCCAGAGCCTGGTAGGGGCCCCCAGAGAGACCCAGGGTGACCTTTGTGCCAATACTGGGGTGTTGGGGTGCAGGAGCGACTCGGCGTGCTTGGGACGGGGGCCCAGAGCTGGCTTGGGCCCGGCCGGCGGCGGCGCGCACAGTTGGGGAGGTGTTCCTGTTGTCCTGGGCTTGGAACCAGACCCCTCTTTAACAGGCGTCTGAGCTGTCAGTTACACGAGCAGTTTGAGTGTCGCGGTTTAATTTACTCGATTCAATATGTTGGTTTGAAATGTGACAAATTTTCCTTCCTTTTTGAACTCTTCTGTGATTTTCATACATTTCAAAATCAAAAATAGCCAGAAATCCACAAAATGTTTGTCTAAATTTTCCTGGCTGATGCCGTGAGACCAGAAGATTCATTTTCGTGTGATGCATTTTCAGCATGATGTGCTCCAAAACTTCGTTTCTGCACTTTCTATTAGTGGGACCCCGGCTTGATTCCCCGCCTCTCCCACTGCCGTCCACATGGAACGTGCGTGACGGTCGATGGTCTTCGTGGGGCCTGCTCCGATGCAGCTCCGTGAATGATGCCAATTGCCAGACTCTCCTAGGAGAGCCGGCTGTTCACGGCGGTTGTCCCCTCCATAAATGCTGCCGCGGGTCAGCGGTGCCCCAGCCCAGCAGTGTGGGGAGTGCGCCCAGGGCTGGTGGGTGACCATGAAGTGGCTTTGGCGAGGGAAGCTGACGGAACCCTCTGCCAGCCCCCCTTCCCCTGGTTCCTTTGCCATTCCAATCCCTCCTCCTTCTTTGCACTGATGCAAAGTGAGTTTAAACCAATGTGGAGAGCAAAATGGCGAGAGGGAAGCCGGGGATGGGTGACCAAGGTGACACCAGCCCCAGGGTGCCCGGGTCCTCTGCCATGCGTTCTGGCCGGGTCACAGCTCTGCCCTGGTGACCTCACCCTGGGCGGGGAGGGGGAGTGGGACATGCCGACCTGGGGACCCAGTCAGACCGGGGCTCCATCTTGGGGCACTGCTGTTTCCCAGCTGGGTGGGCCTTGTCACTGTTGCTTCACATGTGTGGGGACAGTGACGCCCCCAGTGTGCTGCAGTGCAGTTGAGGAGACCCGGGGTTGAGCCCTGGGATGCGTGCACAGGCCAACAAGCACCGTGGTGATCCGTCGTTCCTGCAGCCTCCCTGGCTGGGGGCGGGGGGCGGGCACAGAGGAGTTGCCCCACACAAGCAAGAGGACCAGACGCTCTCCTCGGCCGCTTGCCAGGGGTATCAGCACACTGCAGCCGGGACTCTCCTGGCAGTGCTCCCCATGCGGGTGCTCCCCAGGCCAGTGCTCTCCAGGCTGGTGCTCCCCACGCAGATGTTCCCAAACTGGTGCTCCCCAGGCCGGGGCTCCCCAGGCCAGGGCTCCCCAGGCCGGCACTGCAGACAGAGAAGACGACCTGGGAGTTATTTCGGGAAGATTCTCCAGGCTGTCACTGCTGGTTGACCTGCGCGGTTTGGGATGAAAGAATGCTAATTATTTTGTTTTAAATATAAGTCCACATGGCTGATGGGAGCCAAGAAAGCATGCAAATGTCTCTCTGAATTTTGGGAGCCAGACTTAGCTAACGTTTGTGTGGTCTAGCCTCCCTCAACCAACAAATAATTAGCAGTTGGCACACCCTGAACCGCCCGGACCCCGGGGCTTGTTTTTCCTGCTTGCTTCTGCAGTGAACTTGGTCTGACAGCTGGTCCCTCCGCCTGCCCCTTCTTTACATGCCCCGAGCCCCCCAACATATGTTCGCGTGCACGCTCATTATCCAGGCAAGCCCAGGGCCTCCCGCGTCCTCTTCGCATTGGTGGAGGGTGAGGCAGGCTGGCGGCTCTCCAGGCCCTGCTCTGTCCTGGTGATTTGAGACGTGGCCTCACACGGCAGAAATGCTGTCTGACCCTCCCCTCCCCGGCCCCCATTTGGGGAGAAGGAAGCTGCAGCCCAGGTGGTCCTCAGGGGTCTTCCTCAGGCCCCTCGTCCAGCCTGACCTCTGCTGAACGCCGAGGATACACACGGCCTGCCCACCCTCTCCGGCCCTGATTTCCCCATGATCTCCAATCAGGCTGCTTCCCTGCGGCTCCTCTCCTCTGCGGTGGCCTCTGACAGACTCTTGAATTCTGTTTCCAGTCCTTCACTCTTGCGGCCTATGAGGAGGCAGGGGGATTTAGCGGGCCCCCTGGCCCACTGGGCTGCCACCATCCCTAATGTCCCGGCTCTGAAGTGGAGACCAGCCTGACCCAGCAGGGGGTCACGAGAAGGAGGGGCTTGCGGGCACTGCTCAGTCATGTGCGTCCCCGCCTCCGAGATGGGGGGGGCCTGGGAAGCCCTTCCTGTGGTGGGTCTGGACTCGCCACACGGCCCCTCCTCAGCCATGAAGTATGTGGCTGTTCTACCCTCTGAGAAACAGAGGAGCATGCTCGTCTCACCTAGGGAGGCTGGGGGTGCAGTCTGACTCACCTCCTCTGGCCCGGGAGGGCCACCATCTCAAGTCCAAGTGCAGATAACTTGGAGCCGGTTTTCCCCAGTGTCCTTTTCTTCCAATATGACTCTATAAACAAAGGGGAAACTTTTCCCTGTGACCCACAGTCCAGAAGTTTACCCCTCGCCCCCAAGTCAATCAGCGTGGGTAGAAGTGGTCTTTGGCATTAGCATGGCTGGCTGGGCCCCGAGCAGGCAGCCACGGGGCCGGAGCTGAGCAAGATGGGTGGCTTGATGGAAGGCGAATGGGTTGGAGCAGGCAGCAACAGTGTGCGCCTCAGCACACCAGAAGGAAGGACCGTCTGGGCTGGCTGGGCCTTAATCCTTCGGACAGGAAGTGGTTTTCTGGATTTCGCCAGTTCTGGTAATGACAGCAGCTAGCACAGACGAGCACCCACTGGGGCTGGCCCACAGGCCAAGTGCATTCAAGTCTGTTTCATCCCAGGACAGCCCCTGGCCAGCGCCCTGGCTCTCCCGCCCTGACGCACAGGGACACTGAGAACAGAGCCAGGCGGTTTGACCAAGGGCACTCGGCCAGGCGCAGAGACCCTTGGCTCCAGGGCTCTTGACTGCTAGCCGCCTTGCCTCTTGAGGGCCTCTACAGAAAAGGTATTTGTTACAGGAGTTTGGGGCCTGGCGACTCACCCTGCCTAAGCCAAAACCTGAGAGAAGAGTCTGTAGAAGGAAATGAAGTTTCGTCAGGGGTCAGCAATCTTGAGGCCCAGGGACTCCTGTCTCTCCAGGTTGGGGAGAAGCGGGGACTCACAGGGGGGAGCACCATGAGAGGGGGGAGGCCAAAGGGTCCGCGTCAGCAGGACTTCAGAGGACAGCTAGGTTGGCAGGCACTGCATTCACGCCCCTTTTCCTTTCAAGTTTGGCCTCGACCGACCGTGTCTTCCCAGGGCTGGTGGGCATGCCCTTCCCTGCGGCCATGAGGCAGTGCCTTCCCCCTTGTTTTTCTCCTACCCTATCTGGATCTCAGCTGGTCTGGTCTGAATGTAGTCTTGTCTGCAAGAGAAGATTAACAGGAGCAGAGCCAGGACAGGCAAGGCGAGGACAAGGCCTGGTCGCCATACCGGAGACACGCTGATGCCTCACGCTCAGCAGATGTGACTCTTGTTACGCCAGGTCTGCCGAGACCTTCCACCCCAGAGGAGTCCTCTTCCCCGGGACCCAGTGAATGGACGGAGACTTTTGTTCCAGCCAGAGCCGCCTGCTGCCTCTGCAAATGGGCATTTGGAGTTCCCTTTCCTTGCCGCCGTCCTGCCCGGCTCCTCAGCCTTTGGTGCCCCCCGCCTCCCCACAGCCCCGCTCCCCTACAGCAGCAGTGGTGCCCAAGACCTCGGGCTGGGTGCTCATGTTCTTCAGCGGAGTTGCTGCCAGGAAGAAGAGGACGAAAGCAAAGCACAGCAGCTCACACAGTTTTGGCCTTTTTCCTGTTTTAACTTTTGTCAGCTTCCCACACCGGGTAAGGCGGAGGCGAGAGCTGCGGCTAAGCCAGGCCCACCGGCCGCCGACTGTGGGCAGCCGTCTGACCCATGGGGGGGTCCCGGTGTGTGTGTACCGGCGCCGACTCCCCCACCCCCACCTTTACAGACAGCCTGCTCTCAGCCCAAGACCGGAGTCAAGAAGTAGGTTTCAGCTAAAGACATAAACAAAGAAAATAAATAAGCGCACGCAAAGCCCGGGCCGTCGGCCCTCCGCCCGGCGCCACCCACATGGAGCGTGGCTCGCAGGGAGGCATCGGAATGTCTGGTCTGCCCTGTCAGCCATGCCCGGCGTGCCTGTCGGACTCTGGGGGAATCTGATACACTTTTTTTATGGGGTTACCGGCGCCTTGGGGTGGTCTGGGTGCTGCCTCTGTCAGCTCGGAAGCAGTGAGGGAACAATGAGGAGCTAAGCTCGCGCGGTCTGTAATAGCCTTGCAGAGAAGAGGCGGGAGTGACAGGTAGATTCTGTTTCTTCAGTGGGGGACTTTTCCTAAACCAGGAATCTAAACAAGGGCGGCTCGAGGGAATAGAGAGACGGTTGTTAGTGAGAACCACGACCCTCTCGTGAGCACCTTTGCGGCGTCGCACCGCGTGAGCTTGGACGGATGCCCCGAGCGTGGTCGCCGGGCCTGGTGAAAAGACCGTCCAGCCCAAAATGGGGCCGTTGGCTCCAACACGAAAGCTTTCGGTTAATTTGTGAT